TCTACGCAACGGATTTTTCCAGTACGTTGTCTTGTATGAATCCATCTAACAGAAGTCGATTAACAGCCAATGTATCTCCTTGTAAATGCTGCGTACTTTAGTGCGGAATCTATGAAGTTTTACAAATGTGTAATATCCACCACTGTTGAACGACGATGCTTCCAGTCTTTAACTACTTGCATTGCGGCAAATATCTTCAGTACTATCGATCCAAATTGCTGAAAAGGATAACTCTTGAAGAATGAGAAATACTTAGACTTATATTTTCAGCTGGATTAAATGATTGGATGGATACTTGCTAATTCCTGAAATCATTGGCGTAGGTTATTACCGGACAATAAAGCTACGAACTAAAGAATGGCTGTCAAAATCGACGTTTATCTGGCAAAACACTGGGGTTTGCAGGCGGGTCAATCATGTCGACTACTCATGACACAAACACTGAATATTGGGCCGTCTGATGCCACTTTAGTGTGAAAAGAAGAATTGTGAGTAGGACTGACCTAAATTCAGAACGATGTGTATGTGCTGCAAAGTAGTATTTTCCTGCTATTTTCATAACTTTCAGACACTTGACATCATGATAGAGTCTAATATCCTCCTTACGTACCATTCAAGATTTCCCAAACCTTTAGGTCCCTCTGCATTTATCAATTCGGTGCTGCCCGTAGACCGGCTTCTCCCGTGTTAAATTCGTGACCTAAGAATAAAAGTATTTTTCATTTATTTGTTTATTTATGATGCTTGAGAAAGGATCAATAGACCAACTAGAAGTGCCCCCTCTAGGATTTGTCTCGCTGCAGAGGCGGCTTTGAGGCTTCATAATAGTTTACAATGGATAGCCGTTTGGAATATGGTTTTTTCAATAGTAAGGGAATATCTCTATCGGCCTATTTCAGCGATTCTTCAGGAATCTCAAAGCACCAGCAGTGAGCGAGATCTTGAGAGTGGCGATACCAGAAGCCCGTTTGTAATGTATGGGAATTATGTATTTGGTAGAAAGGTCAAACATTCATATCTAGTGCACGTTGTTAGGATAGTCTTCAGATGTGAAGTGTCCAGCATGTTAGCGCTTAAGTATTTTGTAATTCATATGGGGCTCTATATGCATTCATAGGATAAGCCTTTCCTTCCCCAATGATAGGTAGGTGCTTATTAGATCTACAACTTTCATCAGCAGCAATCAGTGACAAATGAGGTAAAATATCATTGCATATATTCCTTCTTGTAGTCTGTCTACTCATCCAATCAAAGGCACATGCTCAGGTGAAGTCATACTTGGCGGTCCTAGGCTTCCTGGGGTGCAAATCGGGCGCTACGTAGTCACTTCCAGTCCTTAGATTGCAGTGGGACCTTTTTAATAGCTCAGCTATTGGGTCAGCGGTGACGTATGAGCCCTGTGAACTGGGGCATAGAAAGGTTTCTGGTCAACTTCGTTTAGGATTTTTACCGTTTCTTCTTGAACTTCTGTGCACGGGGTTCTGAAACGGTCATTTGTGAAAAATCAAATCAAAAAAATCAGCAACGATCCTGCAATCGCTGTTTGAAAATTCGTAACCCAAGTGAGAAGCCATATGCCTGGCTTAATGAGTGGGTCAGAGGTCTGGCATTCCATCGAGCCACTCGTGTTCTTTCACCTTCTGAAACGACCCTTGTTTTTCCCACGGAGCCAATATTTCTGTGTGACGCTTTGGTGCGTTGGTTGGGCAATACGTAATCTCGCGCATGTAGGAATTACCACGTTTTATTTTCTCCGTACCGGTCACACATGGAATTAAAGCTGGAGATGAGGTGAGCTTGCTTTCGCACACAAGTGAGGCGTTTGGAGGGGGTCGATGAACGCATTCAAGACGGTGTTACTTTTACTGGCTATGGCGGTGTCCCACAAGTTTTGCAAGGCCTATAGCTCTAGCTTGTCGTATTGGGCAGCTCTCATGTGTGGCTTGGTTTGAATAACTCTCCACAGTTCACAAAACAGAGTGGCTGTCCCAGCTACTTATTTGCATGAGAGTTGTCTCCGTGGTCACAATTTTTGAAGGGTAACAGACGGACGCCAGTATAAAGACCTCGATTATCTATTTACCAGAGGAACGTGGATTTGGAAGACAGAACGAAAGGCAGTATAAACTATGAGAAGCGCCGGAAATGCCTTGGAATCGTGAAGCAATGTGAAGGTTACCTAACCATACAGTTATGGGATGAGCACACAGGGTTAGGAAAGTAGGGTCGCAGATGGGTTTAAGAGGGCTGCATATAACACTAAAGCCTGTTCCATGAAGTGGTGAACGTTCATTTAATGACCTGGGGGATAGGAGGTTATCATTATTTTCTTTTTACCACTAAACTGAATGCTGGCTGAGCTAGATGGTGGCTGACCGAAGAATGTCATCGTGTGCATGGTCGCAGGCATTACTGGTTTGTTTGGCTTGAAAAAAGAAGGATTGTTAGGCGCCTCAAGGAGTGCAGACTCTTGGTAGAATGCAGGGCATGTGTTACTTAAACTGGCCGGTATGACATCTAGAAGGCAGATAAGGCTCTCCATACTTGATAATCAGAGGTGTAGTTGCGGGTTTGAAAACCTGAGGCGTGGAAACAAAATATACTGAGCGCGCCCTGAAGTTATGCATGTGGATCCTGAATAAGTCACGGTTGAATGTGATAAGACAAGCATTCTTCCAAGAATCTGATCCCGCGGGCTTACTTTGGCGTTGGTACACCATCGTTGTACATTCACGGAAGAGAGGTTGAACCACATTCAGGTCAACTGAGTTTACAATACTGCCTGAGCTGGATGAGAAGAGGATCTGTGTGAGTCATAGTACGGGAGCAAACCAACTTGCGGTCAGAATGGTTTTGAGCTAGACGGACAACTACTTTCCCTAGTTGATGCATTTTCCTGACTGCTTGAAAGCCTGAGCTTACAGTTATTCGCTATCCTGGTGCACAGATATTTACCAGATAACTTCACTCGAAGAATGACAGGTCAGCCGCCCCGCTACTTCGGTTGTATTCTGGGGTTTAGAAAACCGGCAGAGAGTGAGTATGCCGGCGAGAGTTCTCGATATCCTTCGAGATGGCAAATACCGGCCAAATCCAACACCGCTTTACGAAAGGCAGAGCCACTAGGGAAATGGAATTAATGTCTCAGTCGTAAGATTGTTCCTCAGGTGAACCCTATCATAAAACACTGACCGCTAATCCAGAATAGAGAATAAATCGGGAACCTAGGAAGAGTCGCTTGCCATCGGAAAAGTTAACCCAGAATAAAAGAGCCAGTCTGTTAGGGGTTTATTAGAAGCGTTAGCATCAAGGCTTTTGTATTGTACTTTGAAACTCAAAACGTACTGTCAAGAGAGGCGGCTACTGCTCCGTTTGTCGATGGCCTCAAGAAGAGGTCAGATGACCGTGCAGCGACGCATGGCTTACGCTCATCCAGCTGGGATTCCGGATAGGTTTATACAGTCAACCAATTCCACACAATCCGGCACACCGACACCACACCGGGCTTCTTACATCGCCATTAACATCGCGAATTGAGGTTACCTCATACTTCCTTGTCGGACGCTTCACCTCCAGTTATCGTGGCCCCACTAATAATTACTATTTCTATTCCCATAATCCGTTCAACAATTTGGCTGCTGCTTCTCTTCTCTTCTCTTCTGACTCTCTAACCTTGTGATCTCATTCCATTTGTTAAGGTTCTCCCTACCACTGTTATCTAGCCTGACCATACGTAAGTTTCTAACTTACCCTTGTTCTGCTTCTTTTCAGCTTGTTTGTCCTCAGCTCTGTTCCCCTGTTCTAGCTGGATACCTTTCCATTCTTTCTATCTTTCTTTTACGACCAAACCGAACAACAGTCTTATGGCATGATACTTTGAAAGCCTATCTGTGCCACGGTCCTCGGAAAAATCATAAAATCTGCGCAAAGTTATTCAACACTCAACTGCCGGTCAGAGTACATGAGACAAGTTGGTAGACCTGCTGCGTGGGAATCCACCAAAGACCAGGAACCTTTCTGCAAGACTTAGGAGCGAGCACAAGGGAATCAACTGGTCTGCATAGGCTGGTAAAAGGAGACTAGAGAAATGCATGGTGATGTATCCTTTCCCAATAAAAGCGATGGGAACCAGTTACACCATCAACAAGTGTGCGTCACGACAGCATCCACGGGGAAATACCCAAAATAAACTTAACTGATACGATGGATATCAGTGCCAACTCTAGGTGAGTGGCAGCAAAGACGAACACCGCCATGCATTTTCTAAGAAGGTAGCCTGGATTGTCGACTCCTGAATTATTCCTCACAGTGTTTAAAGTCTATGTTAGACCACATCTACAGGTACTCAACAAGATAATTTTCCTCTGCCAAAGAGAGACGCGAATACTCTAGAGAAGGTACAGAAAAGGTCTGCTGTCGGACTAGCAGGCAGAAAATATGCGTGACGCATTAGACAACTCAACCAGCTCATATGTAAGGAAGTGTAAACGGCCTGCAACGAACACTTGTCGGTAGCAGCCAAAGGGATGCTCATTGGCCCCTGCATTCCTCATCCATGGTGTCTACAGCAAGGTGAATCCCATCGTCGCATTATAACCAGTGACACATTTTTCCGTAAGTACTTATCACTTCTCCTTTTCCGATTCCCCACTCCGCCTATTTCTAACGCTTTTAAGTGGCTTTTTTTAAGCATAAGCCTGCAAAAACGGGAATTGAGGAGGGTTAACTGACTTCATCAGCATCTTCACTGTCTCCCCAAGCAAACCAAGCTACAATCTGAAAGGGAAAATACCTTCGAATAGACAATCACTACCTTCAAAACCATAAGGAGAGAAAACCTAGAGCTTTCTGTTACCAGCAAGACAGTGTAACCGAGCAAAAAGAACCAACCCCCAAGACCTAAAGGTGAGGGCTCAAAAACTACAAGTTTCCTCTACTCTCACTATTGATACAGGACGTTGGGTGTTGTTGTACATTAGATATTAGAGTAGGTTTGATCTGTGCGCTACACTGCTAGGTATTATGCTGCCGTTAGACACATTTCATGTTGGGTCATCTTCATTTGCTTCAGGAATATGTGAAGCTTTCTATTCATTTATTCAGAAGTTTATTTCATTTTACTCTGGTGTGCTTGTCGGCATAAAGGAAGGAGTCTTGGCTGAAATATTCCCCAGTCTTCTCCTATCTTATGTAAGTATTTTAAATTTATGTTACCAGGAAGTGATAGAATGCAACGGTACTCCTTATACTTATGTTTTTTCTACTTGGCCTCTCAACGTTTTTGATTTTGCGGCATCTGAAGTCCCATGGTATGTTTTTTTCCCACAAACTGACAATCCTAATACTTAAGCACCTTTGCGAGTGCATGTCACACAAGTTCCTCGAGGTTTCCGCCGAAGAGACAAAATCAGATATCATGCAATCAGATTTGGGCGAAGGTTCAGCGAAATAACTGAGGAATTGAAAAAGGCTCGTACTAAAGAAGAGCGAAAAACGACAATTGTAAACTTTGCGAAGAAGTAATGTGGTTGTGTTTAGTTTACATTTTTAGAATCTTCAAACTACATGATGCTCGAAAGTCACCGGCCCTAGCCTACGGTCGATTGCCGGAGTCATTTTTTGAACCAGATGAAGAGGACGTTTCATCGCTACCGGAAGATCTTCGCTTGATGATCAGTTCGATTAGAGTTTTTGGTCATTTAGAGAAGTCGTTCTTTATCAGTTTCTGCAGATATATTGAAACGATTGAGCTGAAAAGGGGTGAATATCTCTTCCGTATTGGAGACGAGGACAAATCTGTGTATGTTATTCGTAATGGTAGAATTCAAATCACTGTTACTGAACCAGTAAGTTTCATGCTTCAACATGGTAAAACTGTAGGCTGTAAATGTAATAATTTTCTTTTTTATCTTTTTGTCTCATAGTTTCTGCGACCTTCGCAGTTAGAAACGTTTTCCTGTAACTTGCAAATACGTAGCGTTTTTTTCGCTGGTACACTTAAAATTTTGAAAACCTTAAAAATACTAGGACAGAACTTGTGGATGTCCAGTCCTTATGGTGGTTTGCGTGAAAGTCTAGTGATATATCCAGTTGTAACGTCCCTAGGTGACGTAGATGGACGAATGCAGATTCTTACACAGAAATAGATTAATTCAAGGTGCTACACTTCGCAATACTTAAGAGCTTTCGAAAAAGTTATATGTTGATTTTAAGTTCTCTCTGCGTGAAAAACATTTTTCCGTTTGTGGGAGCAAAAGTAAAAGCTTATAGGTGTACTGCATTCTTGTTCTTATTTTAATTCCTTCTCTGTGGACTTATGGGTTGGTAAGAATATTCGGTTCTTGTACAGTGTTATTATTCATATATATATATATATATATATATATATATATATATATATATATATATATATATATATACATATATATATATATGTATATATATATATATAATTTCATCTGAACGTACGTTTTTTTCCATACGAATTTGCCTTCCGAATTGTTTACTCTTGATACATGAAAAAAGCAGACAAGCCGTAACTTCGGATGGTACGTGAAGTGTTTTACAAGACAACGTAACGTTGCTGCTTGTTAACTCCATATTCAGTCCAAAGATTTATTTGGTGCATGTGCATAATACGTGTTAATAGGTATCTAGTCTTTATTCTTGTTTTCGAAGCATTACTTGCATATTGTTGGGAACTACTGGTGCCAAATGCATACTACTAGGTGATAATTTTGTCAATTATACTGAATATGGTTGATTGGAAATATGTTAACTACACCTAGGGGCAGCTTACGAAGTATCACTAGATCATAGTTACTAGCTATTGAATTAAGTTATGTATAGAACAGTATGCTTTATGGTTATTCTTATTAACAACCAAAATATATTATTGAAGACGTGGGCTGTAGCTGAAAATCGTTTTTGTTGATGTATATTCGTTTAGGCATTATCTTTTTCTAGACTTCAAACAATTGGACACTGCGTACATTTTTTTAACTTCCTAGATTCCTTTCTTTCCTTTTTTTTGTAATTTACCATCGTCGTCATTATCTTAGATATTTTCTCGTTTACCTTTTATGGTTCTTCCCGACTCTTAGTTAAAATTCGACAGCGTAGACTGACAGTTTCTTGAAGAGCAATTTTCATATTTAACCATCTAAGACTAAGTTTCCCCTTCAAATACTCAACCTTGGCCTTTCATCGAAATGCAGTTACACGCTAAAACACAGTATTAACGCTTTTGCTTTGCTACTTGTATTCGAGTGTTGGATACGGGTGATACTGCATAGGTTTTGAATAGGGTTGGGTCGTTTTATCGCATATTAGATTGCAAATTGAAGTTGACTTTGGGGACGATTAATAGCTGTATGATAAGTTAGACATCTGAGATGGATTGTTTGGATTTGTGACGTCAGAAAACATACTTATGGGTTGAAGTCTATATGAAACTGAGAATTACATTCACCTGTATGATTATTTATTCAAGTGACTAAGGATTTATTTAGATCTTAAAAAGTCAAGGCTTTTTCTTCTGTCAGTAATTCAAACAAAAATTTAACTTCATGTAGCTTTATTCACCAAGGAAGCGCTTTTCAAGTCACATGAAATATTTCCCATTTTAATTATCACTTTGTGGTAACTACATTGTTTGTGTTATATTATATAGTTCTTCCATTTGTTAGTCATATTCTGGGATTCATTCTCATCATTGTTCATCTTTATTCTGTCTTCAAACATACAGGATGGGTCTAAGTATATAATCACAGAAGTTGGAAAGGGCGGAAGTGTTGACAGTTTGATTTCTGTCCTTAGTATACTTACCGGTTATCCTTCAACCTTCCAGTTCATGGAAGCAATCGCTTTGGAACCGACTACAGTGTTGAGCTTGCCAACTCAATCATTTCTGGAAATATGCAAGCCGCGAACACATGCCCTATTTCGTATTATTCAGATGATTACAGTTAGACTTCAGCGTTTAAGCTTCAATGCACTGCACAATTATCTTGGTCTCAGTTCTGAACTAATAAACAAGGTAAGCATCAAGGCTGGATGAATTTCCTTTCAATTCTTAATGGGATAATCATTTTATTTCTTAATGTACCTTTTATTCATAATTTATGTTCATTTTCTTACAAAAGCTCGCTCTGCGGTAGATATGAAGATTGGTTTTAGACATGCTTTATCTTCTCGCTAGTAATTAATGCACTAAACGATTATTTAGTTTCATGAATAAATTTGGAGACATGAGCTGTTATCCAACAGCCTAGGTCTTTAACTGAATATTTTCTTATGGTATCCCTTAAGTGATTGTCATAAATTTTGCACACACTGATTTCAGAAGCTATTTAATAAGTAAAACAACTTGGAAGAACCAGTAATTAATAATGGTAATCACAGCTTAGTTTACTAGTCTTATTTTACCATCCTTTTTTTTAACCGGCATCCAGAATTTTTTGTCAAGGGATTTAAGTACAGAATATATGAAAAGACTTAAGTTGAAAAATTAGATTTTAAACAAAAATGGAACTTCTAAGATTGATAGAAATTAACATTGGATGGGGCTGCTTATTATTCCAAAATTAAAATCTTTTTGTGATGAGGAAACACTGCTAGTATACTTTGTAAAAATCTCTGATGCCTTGATTCGTCGAAAAGAAATCTTCACCTATGTAGTAGTTTGTGGAGCAAAATAATTGTAAAGTCAAGTGAACTACGTATGGTATGGAAAGACTCATGTTCGTTTATATATATATATATATATATAACGAGAGAGCTAGGAACAAACTGAATGGTTAGTATCAGTCAAAATTACTGTAGCTAGTCGCCTGCAAGAATTTAAATGTCAGTCAACTACAGTGTTCATCACTTGAACCAGAGAGGTACAGCACTCACTCTACTGATGGCTTTCAAAGCCCTACAGAATATGACATAGTCCTTTTTTAGTTGACCAGGAAAGATCAACGGGGAGCAACAAAGGAACGCTAGAATTAATAAATGTTAAAAGTAGGGGCTGAGTTATGTCAGATAGTCTTAGTTTCTTTATGTAATACGGTAAACGAAAGATTTTCTTGGAAGTCAACAAGATAGGAGACGACCAACGAAGATCAGAAGGAAATCTCAATCGGAGGTAGTTAACAGCCGATTTGCTTTCTGTAGCAATACCATCAATGCAACAGGAGTCATGCAACTTAAGCAGCTCACACAAGTCTTGTTTACTTCTGTGACTAAAATTAACAGTCTGACATTTAGAAGGATGGGTTTAGCTTGAGACCATTTAAAAGAAACCACCGGTCAGTTACAGACAACAAACCTTTTATTTTACAGCAATCTAAATGAGTACTAACTGGAATAAAAGCTGTCAGGTCAGCGGAATACTTCATAAACTAAGTTCCAACAGAATGAAGGAAATCATGCAAAAGAAACGAAAACAGAAACGGAGAAAGTATTGCACCTTAAGGCACACCAGCTTCAGTAAGCAATGAAGTGGAGCGTCTCCTTTTATAGACAGTATACTACTTCCTTTCAGAAAAATAAGAATACAGCCACTTTGTAACGTATGGCTCAGTATGAGATATGGCGAACTTATTTGACAAGAGTGGTCTAGAAACAAAGTCAAAGGCTACTGAGTAATCCAAGAAGGGACAACGAACACACGTAACACCTTTTTATAGACTAGAAACAATATTATGATGCAAGACGCTGGCAGCATCTAAGGTACCTCTGTGTTTGTGAGAAAACTGTTTTAGATCTCTGAAAGCCTTTAATGAAGGTTCAAGCACAAGGAGAAGTAATTTTTCCATTGTCTTCAAAAAAGGAAAGTTATGGTGATGGGTCGAAACTTGACATCTGATCGAAAAGATGACTTAGGTACAGGTTCAACTTTGATCTCCTTTCAAGCAGCGGCATTGTATTTTTAGAACATGATGCATTGAGGATATCTGTAAGAGGATGACATAAAATATCTAAATAGTTTCTAAATATAATACTCGAAACACCATCAGGACTTATCATGCAGACCTCAACTAGGAAATCTACATTTCCCTACATGAATCAGACCGCTAGTAAGTAATTTCATAGGATGATGCCAGGTTTTAGTCTCATGACCTTCAACCTTTCCCGAATTAACCATACTAAAGTCAACACCTCGCTCTAGGGTAAACAACGACCAAGCATGGGTGACATTTCTTAACATCCTGAGTCAATGAAGTTTTATGACCTCATCAACTTACCTCCTTTACCCAAAGTTCCACACCTAACCTGTACACTACTAACTTGGTGGTTCGATGTAACGTAAGTAACGGTGGTCAAGCACTCGCAGTATTTTTTATCTTCCATCCTTAAACGTCATATTTCCCCTTCATATAGTCGCATAGGGTAAACTGCTGTGCAGTACGCTTCACCCTTAATAGGTTGTTGGATATCTCACTGACACCACGAGTAGTGTAATCTATTGGATAAGATTTTAAGTGAAAAGTTATTTATGGATTCTGGATTTGAACTGAGTTGGTCTTCAGTTCTTGTGACTTCTTTTGTTTTCAGAATTCCTTTCCTATAGTTTCTAGTTTCTCCTTTACATCCTCCATTGGTTGCATAATAACCATACTTACTTTTCTCTATAGGTCATATCGTATACTGCTTATATGCAGTCGTATAAGTAGCATGCACCAAAAAGACTTTATTTATTGGGAAAAGATGCCTGCTGATGAGGAGCTCAAAGAGTTTATCGTCGTTGATGAATGCATAGCTAAAAGTTTATTTTTGATTATGATAAAAGTCAGACATATCATTGTAAAGTAACAGAAAACTTTCTGTTCCTTTTTGGTAGGAGGTAAGTTCACCATTACTTCTAGCTTTGGACTGGTTGCCACACATAAGCAGGGATTTCTACATTGTTTTATCTCAAGAACAGTTCAGACTTATAAAATTCGTATATGTTACTTTCAACTGTATTCGCCGATTTAGATGTCCTTATCAAACACATACATTGGTGGAAAATGTAGAAGATTCTTACTAAAGTTGTCGTTATGTTTCACACAGTTCCACTCAAATATTTACATATTTTTTAACAGTATGCTTATCATTTGCCTACTCAGTAGCAGATACTGACATATATAATTTCTTAAGTTTCTGGATAAGGAGATGAATTCTATTTAACAGATTGTTGTTAAAATACTTTCGTCAAACCTATGTGACTTTCGAAAGAGGATTGTTGCTGATTTTATCATTTGAACTTTGAATTGCTTAAAATTGAGTTATTTAACTTTACCGTACTATTTCTCTTTTTTCCGACATTTTAAAATCTCTACGTGTTTGTCCTATTTGTGTTTATGTCATCGTCTAAGGTGTTTTAAGTCTGTTTACCTTTTGCTATGCTAGGATAATATACGAAGTTACTTCTGGAATTCTAAGTAATATTTCATGATCTGGTCCTTTCAAATATGCAAACATTTGTCCTATGTTATAGTGTTTAACTTGTATATGGTTGTCAGTCATTATCGCCTAGTGATTTCTCAGGGTGATGATTGTTTCAGTGCCCATCAAATGATTTAAAGGTGGTCATGGGTGTTTCTCAAAATATGAAGCAGAATTATATGGGTGGTGCTTTCGAGGGTACGTGATATAATGGATTAGCGTTAGAATTTTAAATTCTGGTCCACATTTCTCAGTATCACTTATCCGAACTCAATATCTATTGTCATTACATCAGTATGTGGACTATTTATAAATTCTACGATATCAAGCAACCAATTTAATGAGTCATTTTTAGATATGAGGGAAAAGTTGATGATTTACGATTTCGATTGCAGGGTGATGTTTTCCTAATCTACGTTGAGAAATCATTGTATTTTCGTGAGTACTCTGATAGGAATGTTTTGAAGGAGTCTATTGATTCGATGCCGGGGTTCGCGGGTTTAAACCTCGACCTGGGTAGTCAGGTAGTGTCGTAGACTCTCGCACGTGTTACTTATATCCCAGTAAATAAATCTGCATTAGGTTGAGTTGCAAATAAACAATGCAAAATATTGAATTGAAAAATTAAATTAATGAGTGTATCACCTAGTGAGAAGCATTCTTTTAACCTAACCAATTGGAGACAGATGATGAACTTGAGGAAAGCAGGACATATGGGGTTCACAATTTCCAGTATTATTCGTCAGGTGAATATTCCACATACATAATTAGTTATTTCATACATATATTCCCTTTTATGCACCTAAATAGAGAAAAAAAACAACGATTAGAGCAGAATAACAAGATACTATTTTACTTCACCGACTTATTATTAGCTACCTACAGCCTAAAAATTATAGATGTCATATAACAAAATTTGAGCGTATTTCTTGTATTTAACTGAAGTCACTTTACAGAAATCGATATAGCGCAATAGGGAACTCAAGCATCTGGATAAGGTTTTCAAAATGTGCTAAGAATTTTCAATTATATCTTTGATTTAGAAGAGAAGATAACCATAGGTCTTAGCAAAGTGTTTTATTATTGACAAAAAAGATTGCCTAAGACGATTAACAGATAGATTAGCTAGTGATTAGTGAAAGACAAGTGGTGTATTGTTAATGTAATGAGGAAAACTTGGTAAAAATGACTATCAAAACATTCTACAAAAAGGTTCAGTTAAAAAATTGTTATTAAGTCAGAGAAAAAAAACTGAAAATTGGGTAACTAGGGCAAAGAAACATCACTGCTTATTTTTGAAAACACAGTTTTGATATTAGTTGTTTGATTTCAGCAAATTTCAGAAGATTCGAATTACTAGTAGATAACTCCATTTAATAGCAACAAGTATGTTTGAATTGTTGTGTCACATAATATTTTCAGGTTGTAAGCAGCTGATGAGGAACCGGCGAAACGAAGTGGTACCGTATTATTGTCCATATCAAATCTCCACTGCAAAGATAACTGGATAAGCCCAGGTTTTAGTGTAATATTAGTAAGAGCGACAGTATGTTAAACTAGCCTGAGTTGTGAATTGCGACCGTATGAAAAATCTTATGATAAAAAGAGATGTGATTAAGATTGGAATTAATTTCAAACATACCATACTAAAAATATTAGTTGGAACTGGTTAGGAAAAATGTGAGTTATGTTAAAGTGAACAATTGATACTATGGAATGCTATGACTCAGCCTAAAGCATTCTATTTAAGCGTTGTTTCAGGACTTTAGTTTTGCCATAATTATCATTATGGGATAACATGTTGCATATTCGTCAAATTTTTCTTGTTTCTCTCCAGGAATTTACTTCAACTCCATGTGCATCTAAAGCCCACGAATTTTTAAGCAAGATTTTCGAAGAAAAGCCTCACATGAAAGATTTTGATCAATTAGGTAATATCAGTTTGAAGTATTCAGGTAGGATTTTTCACTGCATTTTTAAATGTGGTTTTAATTGTAGCAAATTTCGTTTAATCGGTCTATCGGTTTCATGCTTTAAACAGGTTTTATTCTTATAGCAAATTATTCAAGCAGAGTTTTAAAATGTTTCACATCCATAGCTCAGTAGTTTAAGGACCTAACTATCAACCATTGGGTTACTCTAATAATAACAGTAGTAATAATGTTGACAATAATAGTAATTCTAGTGGTAATAATAACTGCTTTATTCCAAACAATATGTATGATACAGTATGAAATTCTCAGCATGTAATTTTCCAGCAAAGTCACTCCTAGAACAATATTTCCCGACGAAATGGTTATTGCATCTGAATGATGTGAATGATAACAGTATTCAATGCAATAATTTGAACAGCCAGCTGATTTTGGATTACCATCCGGTCAATTGTGAAGAATCAACAGAAATGCGAGCGTAAGTTTGGTGGTGGTGGTTCATTCAGCTAGTACAAGAATCTATAACTCAAGCTAAGTATCCGAGGATAGAAATATGATGTACTTTTGCGTACTGAAAACTCCACTTCCACATAACGTGACATTTTCTCTCCGTTTTGTTATTAAATCGAAAAACGGTGAGTTGAAAACACTTTAAAAATGTGCAAGAGTACATGATACGTTCAGAGGACGTATATAAATGAATAAATTAAATTGAAAGGAAAAAACTTGATATGTTCGGTTTACAATTTTGGTAACCGAAGGTTCAAACAGGCCACCGTATGTATCTCATCTTTCTGGCTTTAAACTTGCAAGTATTATCATCATCCTTCATCCACAAGAGCATATTGCGTTGCATTATCTTCATAAGTATTCTTTGTTTTTGTATCACGACGCGAAATCCGAATAATTTGGGCCTAGACCATCCAGATCATCTAATGATCTCAAAGTATTTTTAGCCACTGGTATTGATTTGTAGAATAACTTGTAGCTTTGTTTACTTCATTTAACTCATCTTGTATATTATCCAGCTTTCATTTCATTTGGCTAGTATGTGTCACCTAGTTATTCTCCTTTCCGATTACCAGTTCAGTCAATTATCTGCATCGGTAAGCTTGTTCTTGTAAATAGGCATCATTTAGTCACAGCATCCCTCAATTCAGTCCAATCTCTCAGGCAGTGAACTAAGAATCCCTATGTCGGCGTTCACTAACTGTTTTATATTGCAACAGCACATGTTAAACTACAGCTTAGTTGAGTTTGTTCACAGGATTTCTATTTGGTTTTAATAATGACTGAACGAGTTTCGAATGGCATTTATTACACCTATCACCCACATTGCTTTGCATTCTATATTATTTGGTAGCAGAATATGATTATTCTTCTGGATTTCATTTTTGATGTGCAGCCCCAAAATTATTACGAGTATGAAGTCAGCTTATCTGACCAACATTGGACTAATGAGCACTGACAAAGCAGCTATGACTCAACTATAGGCTGTATTGTTTCTTCTTGTGTTCTGTATATTCATGTTTTACCTTATGAAACTATATTGATAGCTTGACAAAATAGTTCGGGTAAACGTTTCTAGTCTAACTGAATAGAAGTAAACCTATATGTTTCCGTATGTTTTCATTTGAATCACCTCATATCTGCTACTACTTAGCAGCCGAAGATTATCTTTTATTACTGTTTATAACTAAAATTATCGTATTAACCTTGTTGGTGTACAGCTGTTATGGGCTATTATTGGTTCTGTGGACATCAGTTGGAATTGCTTCCTCATTTCATCAATGTGTCATTTCAACAACAGGTATGGATCGATAGTTTGTTGGCACTAGCAGTCAGAAAGACAGAGAGTACAAGGTATTCATTCCGCATACCTTGAGATTCACTTATGATAGGTAATTGTCTTATCTAAAAGCTGTAGATGCGACTTATTGGCTTAGGCAGTTAACTTCCAACCCTGGATCATGGGTTCGAACGCCCTCCATCTACTGAGGTAACATCACTAGCCTTCACACAATAGGTGTGGTTCATTGCTTATTGAGTGAACATGCACACGGCTACTAAGTGCGTTTCGCTTCGATTTTCGATATCCGAAAGCTGAAAACTACTGTGCTAATAGTAGATAACCGAGTGAATTAGTAAGAAATCCTTCTCCATGAGTGAGGTCACTTCATATATGTATTTTTGTAGTCAGCCTAGTTATTTTCACTCCTTTGTTTCTTTCATGATTAAGTGTTTTCTATCCCTCTAAAATGCTACAGGCACTAGCTTTCTGCCTTTATTTATGGTTGTCATTTTGGATTGTAGTACGCAATATCGAAAGTGAAACAGCTACGTACATTCAGATTGCACCAAGTTTCTTCAGTGTAGTTTCCAATTCATTTAAACTTTCATATAGTCTCAGATAAATTTATTATCTATAAAATTCAACCATGTGGGTGCTAGAACGATTTGTCGAATTTCTGTGTTTGTTATACTGTTAACTTTTTATTTTCCACCGTTAGACGGAATTGGCATCTCCGCAGCCTTGCAGTTAGCCTTAACTAATTTATTGATCTTTGAAGTTATTTACTCTCCTACATTGCCTACAATATGTTAGATTAATTTACCTGAAGAGATGATATCGTAACTTGTTTTTTTCATACCTAAAACTTCTGCTGCTTGGTTTCTCATCTTAATGTTTTTGTCCGTCGATGAACTCTCGCTCTGATGTCCAGTATTAATCATCTTAGACTAGACGTATTATCTCACTCTCTGGTGTTGAGGATTTGTGTTTTATGTGGTCGTTATACATTGCCTACGTGTGATAGAATCTCAACTTATCTTGATTGATTTTTGTTGAATTCTTATACAGTTCTGAGCAAAGTGATTATCCAAATGATTGATTGCTATGTTGAAGCTTCCTTTATGAAATCAAGTGATTATTGGTTTCATAATATTAAATGATGTATGGATTATTATACGCATATCACCATGTACTTCATTATTTATTTCAGATTCAGACCATATTTTACCAAAAATGAAGTCATCACTTTCAACTGCTGTAGATGACCAACAGTCTGGAAGTTTTGGGCCAGAAGTAGGACAGGTTTTTACTTCGGAGGACAATTTAATCTTGGATTCAGTATCTCAGTCTGGTGCGCTTGAGCTAGGTGAGGCACCTCTTCTTTGTGACAGAAGAAGTACAAATCGTCCCATGCATTCTCCCTCACAACCTCCTAGTCCAATATGCAAACGTCGTCTTACTAATTTGCGTCGAACGCATTCCCTTGTTGATACATCATCAAAACCTAAAGTGGAATCTGATGATCTAAGCGATAAAAAAGATAATGATAGTTCAAAGCTAACATCTGACAAGTTTGCTAAAGAACTGACTTTTACCGAAGAAGAAATAAAAACCATGATAAATTTAGCTGAAGGTGATCTTGCCAATATTTTGAATTTAAGTGAGACCAGTATCCTCCGTGGACATGTTGCACTTATGTCTGTTCCAGCTGACTTTACACTCTCAAGGGAATCAGAGATGCAGATGGAAATGTATTATGTCATATTCGGAGAGTTAAAAGCTCTCCAGTCCACGGGCGGACCGAATAATGAAGTAAGATGATTATTTAATATTTTTTATTCAGTAATACGTTAACTGCATCTATTATACATTGGTCTTACTTTGTTGATGAGCTCAACTAGGCGTTGGTTCTCCTCATAATCTGAATGCGTTGGTTTTCGTTACTTTCTTATTCTATTTTACTGACACACAAAAGGAACAATATGACTTTATGTAAGACATGTGTAACTTCTCGTATTGCTGCTGTCGATATTAACTGCCTTCATATCCTTTGTAATTGACTCAAGGTTCAAACTGGTAGCTAATTATGGTAATTTACTTGGTTGTGGCTATCTGAAGAACCCAAGACGCGCGTTTTGCCGTGTTTGGGACTCGTCAGCGGGATGTAACTGCACCTCAGTGAGTGATGCTGTTCCCACTGAGATTAACTATAACTAATACCCGTTGTACAAAAAGTGGCTGTCGTGCCTCAGTGGCCTGGTGGATAACGCTGTGGCGTTTGAAGCGATGGGTATGAGCTTCGAGTCTCAGTGGGAACATCACTGGGGTGCTGGTGCATCCACCTGACGAGTCCCAAATAGGACGAAACGCGAGTGTTGCATTCCTCTGCTAGCCACAACCAAGTAAATTTCCGTAATAAGTATTCAGGCAATATCGAGGGATCTGCATAGGCGCCCATTTGCTAATGGAGGTCGAACTATTCGATCCAATGAAACAACGAAGAATTACAAGTACATCAACAAAAAGTTATGGTAGCCAATTAGTTAAAAGTTGTGTTTCACACACGAATCCCTGAAAGTGACTATAATAGCCACCCTACAACTATCGAGATGACCAATAAGGTTTCTTCATATGATCAATAACTATTATTCCAGCTGTAATAAAAAAACCTAATTAGTTATTCCAGTGGTTGTTAAATTGACCTTTAGAGTCACTCATTCTTGTAGGTGAACTCAGCTGATATTCAGCAAGTGAGAAAATCAATAAAATATGTCAAATAAACATGATTTCAAGCTTTGAAAATAAGTATGTTTTTCATATAAATTTACATTAATTTATAAACGTATTAAAGTTGTCATTCTGTTACTACAGTTTAAGTTGACGAAAAGGAACAAAATAAACCTAGGTAAACTGTAAAAACAGCATGCAAAGACTAACAAATGAGATCAATTGTAGTAAAAATAAACAGTAAGTAAGGCTAATAACTGAAAGTTTCTTTGCGTTGCTCTTGTATATGCAAAATGCACTTTCACACGATGCCACTTGAGTAATATTGGTTACCTTGTTCAGTGTTTGCTAATTGATTTTCTTCGCGTTCATGATTTTTTTTCTCTTGAGAGGGAAGACTCGGAGATTCACAATTTTTTAAGTTTACACCTAAAGTTACAAAAATCAACCTCCGGTAGTGTTCGTTTACTGCTCCCAATTACCCTATCGTTATACCTTTACGTATCGTATGGTATTAACTACATGCAAGAGATAATTCCCAAGTGTATAAAGGTGCTTGTTTTTGGCTGCTCCTATGAAATGCATTAGGTAAAGTCATGGGATTTCTATTAAAGGAAAGTAGCATGTAGATTATTTATCGCAAAGATGGAAAGCACTTCGACTCAGTAAATTGGTGAATTACGCTTGTATAATATGGAAAATAATTTGTAAGCGCATTCCAGCATTACTTACGCAATGCCACAGAAGGATTTGCAATTGAATGTCGAATAATTACCACTTGCTACCTTCATCGAAGATTTTTTTCGAGTTACTCTTTCGACAAGAATTTTCAATTTTTTCAATTATTTTTGGATATATGGCTTGTAACATACCGTTGTAAATCCCTAGTTTGTAGTTGTTACGAATGTTGTAGAAGAATTTGAGCACTGAGTCTGATATTCTGCTGAAAAAGCTGTAGCGTACACAGCGAAAGTTCAGAAAAATCATGTTTTAATTTTTAAACATGCTGGGATTGTGTTTAAACTTACTTTCATAGTGGCATACTGTGCTTAAAAGTTGATTAAAAGCCATTTCAGTGAACAATGAACATTCTTTACAAGAATTTCTTCAGGTTCTACAGTTATATGTCCATTGTGAGGAATTATGCATCAACAATATTGATATTTCGCGTATCCGTTTGTTAATAATATTATACAGTTGAGGAAATCAGTTCAGAAAAGTCTTGTGTGAATGGCAGTGATAGAATCAGCTATTATTAGCATTCAATTCGAAAGAATTAATTGTCTGAACGATTATACAGTGTAGGTAGTCCTATAAGGTGATGGTCTAACAAAACTGTAGGAAGGCGTTTATGAGAGCTGGGTGAAATAAACTAAAAAAGATAATTTAAGGAATAATACCTTGTTAATGTTGTTCATGTTGGGGACAAACTAGGTTAAGGTAATTTGTTAAAAAGATTTCAGATTATAGGGAAGAAGGGGTAAATTGAAACTCTAGAACCCTGGTTTACTAGACCGGTACTGTTACCTATTAGCTATTATTGAAACATAATCCCTCAATATACACATATAACTGTAGAGCGTGAAGAAGTTATCGAAAAAAAGATTCTTTGTTCACTCAATTAGCTTATGAAATATATTGGAATTAATTCAAAAACTAATCTCTCAGTAAAGACGTGCATATTCTTACTAAGCAGTACAACACCTATTTTGTGAGGGTGGTTGATACTACCTGACTGCCCAGACATCGTTGGATGAAGCTGGGTTTGAAGCTGTGACCTGTTGGTTGGAAGTCAACCTAGACCAATTAGGTGTTGTGGCAGTGTCTGACTGTGAAGGAAGTACCGTACAAGTATATAGTGCTTATCAAAGCTCTCTACTCGAACTCAGGCAGCCATGTAAAGGCATATGGAGAGTTGTCGTCAGAATTGACAACAACCAGTGGTGTTCACCAAAGATGCCCACTGTTACCGTTCCTACATAACTTTGTTATAGACGTACTGACGGAAATAACCGTAGGTACGTCTGACTTCACAGGGACTGACCTACTTCCTCGAAGGCATCTAGTTGACTCGGAGTATGAAGACGATATCGTCCTAGTGGTTGAAGACGCTGACAAAATGCAGCAGAGATGTAGACTACCTGGTCTGGGTCCCGAGACGATAGGAATCAGTGGTTTATAACTCTATGGAACATGACTGAAAATTGGTCACAATGATGCAGTTGTATTCACTGTTTTAAGTCTTCTAAGGCTTGACTATTCGCACTAACCTTTATCTTCTAGTTGCTTTTTCTCTCATACCTGCTTTCATATCACTTTTTCTGTACACTTGTTTTTTGTATATTACTGTGAAGTGTAGGAACTTGAACCGATACACTTGCGTGTGAGGTTCTATGTTGATTTGTCTATCTGTTTGTGTGAGCTACATCTCCGCTATGCTTATTGAGGAGTGAGTAACTGAGAAACAGTTGTATATTTATGCAATTGAGAAGCTTTCTTCTTGCCTTCTGCAATCAACAAGTAGAAATTTGACAAGGTATCTGCATACCATGGCTAGAGTAAAGTCTGAAGAGGATCTAATTGAAAACAATATTGTTAGCTTCTATTTCTCATTCTAAAATTTAAGATTACGAAGAAAGGATGGTAGAATGTGTTCATTTGTATGTTCACACGTTTTTGTGGGTGTGTATGAAAGGAGAATGCAATAAACAAAGATAATTTGAAAAATACTGGTTAAAGTGGGACTTATGTAAGGCAACAAAATAGGCGAAGACAGTGTGGTAAAATTATTTCAGACTACAAGAATTAGGGGATATCTACAATGTGGAAGTTGAAAATTGGGTTATTTGTCGTAGGATGGTAAGGAATTTGTTAATCCTGAATTAGACGAAGCTGGTTGTGGCGGCAATACATTTTTGATGAACGCAAGGTGGATTATTTAATCCTAGTTGCTACCACTCCTGGAGTCAGTTCACTTTGGCAAGTTGATGGGGGACACAGGAAGTAATGGAAGTGATTTATTCATATCCACCGTGTTGTTCATTTCAATTAACTGTGCTCTATACTAGCGGTGGCCATGCACAACTTCATGCCCCTTTTGTTCGAGAAACAATCCGCTCTTATGCTAAAAATACCTTGGTAATGTTTATCTTATCCTGTTATCTTGGTTGTTTTCAAAACAAATTATTCTCCTTTCATTGCCTTTCTTTTTCTTATTACATTTTTTACTGTCTTGTTTGTTCATCAATTTCTACTTTTTAATATAAAATGCCTTAACAAGTAAATGTCTGACCAGATTGTTAGTGATGTATGACGCAAATCTATCTCATCATCGAAGTGAATATGATTCTTTTTCACAGTCTAGTGTTACATAAGACGTATAATCATCTGTGTAATTAATTATTTTGAAATATATTCTAGTAATGTTTGATATTGATAATTACCCTTTACGCAAGACGTTTCAGAAAAGTTCCCAAAGTTTATATTTATAGTTATGATGTTCTGTTAGCGAAATATAAGAAACTTCACTTTTCGTAAAGCAAAATTAAACAGTATGAATGTATAATCGCAGAACCTAAAGAAGTTATCGAAGAGAATATTTTTTCTCTGTTCAAATCTTTTATAAACTCATTTTTGAAAAATTTAATTCACCAACCAGTTTATTTACTAAATTTGAGCCGAGTTGAAGAGTTATTGATTAATTTGTTCATTGAAATTGTTTTTTTTAGAATGTGACAATATTTACATATGGACCTGGTAAGGTAGTCGGACTTCTAGGACTTATTACCGGTGAACCGAATATATATAGTGTGAAAGCTGTTACAAACACCATTGTTGCTGTATTCTCTCGTGAATGCTTTTACTCTGTAGTTCGTCAGTATCCTGAAGCTTTGTTCAGTGTAACGCACATTGTTTGTTCTCATTTATCTCCATTACTTCATCAACTTGATTTTGCTATGGAATGGATATCTGTCAAGTCAGGAAAGGCCTTATATAAGTAAGCGATACCTGTTTTTGACTAGGATATTATTCCTGCAGTTGTTTCCTTATAGCTTCGAATACCTGTACTCATGCATAACTGCATGTTTGCTGATGAAAATTTGCACCACTTTTCTTCTTCTTACAGAAGTCCAAATGGATTTTTAGTTTGATACATTATTTTAGGAATCTTATGTAACAGGTGTAGAGAAAAAAGAAGACTTTATTTACTAGACAAGTTGTTTGAATGTTTAGTCAGTTCGCTTTTGCTAGAAACAAACAATATAGGAGAATGAAGAATTTAACTATAAATTTGTTAAAAAAATCTTTTCAGATTAGATGTTTATGGTGTATAACTCTAGCACACATTTATGTGAATTGCCAATGTTATTATCGTTTGACTTATGTTTTTAGACCAATATACTGTACGCACTTGAATTCATGTTCTGAATTTATTTGCTACTGTTATGCTTAGCTATGAATATTTACTCCCCGAAGAAAGAATGACTGATTCGTTCATTTTACATTTTCCCTACTAACCAGTTTAGGCTGACAAACAAATCGTTTCTTGTACAAGTAATCCTTCCCATGTTTTGTTTGCATCATGCTTAATACATCCTGTTGTTCATAAATAAATGTGGCCGTATTCCTGGTATATGTAAACTTCTAGGCATCTAGTTTCCATGACTACAGTTATTTCGCTTTGTTTTTTTCTGAACTTTATTTTGATTGTGAAATAATTTCTAAATTTTGCAAATTGTCAGGTCATCTTTACGAGGTATATAGCATATTTTATTGGTCATTTCGATATCACATCAGTTATTCTTCGCCCTATTGTTTAGTTTAAAGGCATTGTTATACAGTATATACACTACGACTCGTTCTACCTACAAGTTTTTTCAGCCACAAATGAAAGGTGACATGTAGTACGACAGTTTGAATGGATACATTTCCCTGTCAGATTCTGTTGTGAAATGTGTGATTGTCTTTAAAGTACAGATTTGCAGTGTACCCTTTTAATTTACCTCCTTCATTTCTCTTCTTAGGAACGGAGATAAGTCCAGCCATGTGTATGTTGTTTTAAGTGGTCGATTAAGACAAGTTGATAACATGCCTGATGGAGGTCATCGCATAGTTGGTGAACTAGGGCGTGGTGATCTTGTTGGTTTTCTCGAAGTGATCAGTCAACAACCACGAATTTATACAGTTATGGCTATCAGGTGAGTTAGTCACTTTTTTGTGATTGGTTGAATGCACGTTTTTCTCAGTGTTAGTTTTCCTCCTTATTCTTAACTTTCAGACGAAGATTCTAAAAAAAATTGTTGAGCATCCTTATGTAAAAGATGATTGCCTACTTTAATCTGACTATCAATCTTATTTGTAAGGGGAGTTGTAGGCTGCTTTATTATAAAGGTCCTTGAGTTGTTATCAGCAATTGTGCTCTTAGTGACATGGAACAAAGTTGGCTAAGACAGTTATCATCTTTGAAATTCGATAGTTTTCATCAAGCTTCACTTATGCACGCTCACTCCTCTTATGCTTTTTTTCACTTATTCTAATATCATTCCATTTCTTCTTTGTTGTAACTGATGGTGTTTCTCCAATAAATCAAATGTATAATATAATTTTGCCACACTGTCGTAAGTAACTTTGTGTATGAGAACAGTACATTTTAAGATTTTAGTTAACTTGCAAATAACACCATCTACGACCATAACAGATAAATAAATCATTTCTTCAATGTTAGGGGATTAAAGTCAGTCTGCAGGAAGATCTAGACGTGGATGTCGTTAGGGTTAGTATTCATCTTCAAGGTATATCTGCAACCTTGAGATAATTGGTTCTCTCTTCCTAAGTGACACTTTCTAAGGCGTGCTAGTTGAGCATTTTTAATTTAAGATAAACGTTTTAAGCCGTGCTAAGACATAGTTTTACACAACTGTATTTTTGTGATACAACTTATCCAAATCGAAGTTTATTCGTTCATTCTTGTATTCACATAACTCAACTATCACTAAAAGTTTTATGTAGCTGTGATTTTCTCCGGTTTTCTGAACCTTGTGGAAAAAAAGTAGTTCAAAAATGTAAGCTATTGATTAAAAGTTGATTGTTTGGTCTAATGAGTCGCAGTCATATTCTCATCTCTAGGCTCATCAAAATACAAACAAGTTAGAGTTATCATTATTCATGAGTCGGTGATGTATGCTACTTCAAACCATTTATTATGAATGCCACTTGAACAGTTGGCAATAAATAAACTTTATTTACTGGTAGTTTTGTGGTGATTGAAGTCTAGACATGATTTATCAAAACGCTCAATGTTATTTTGTTCTGTTATTTGTTTATGCTTTCTTGATTATTTCTTATTGTATTAAGGGACTCGGAATTGGCTCAGATTCCATCTCATTTACTCCATTATTTAAAGAATAAAGTCCCTCAAGTTTTAACGCATATAATCCAGTTATTATCGGATAAATTGCTGGGTAATTTAACGAATGGTTCTAGCATGGCAAGTCCATTGGGTATGCCAATTTTACATATGACTAGTACAAATTCGTTAGTCACTGGTGGACTGGGTTATACATCAGGAGGAAATTCCAGTATGGATGTTTTATATAGCCAGTTGAATAGTGGCGTTATGGCTAATCTGCGTACAATTGCGGTATTGCCTTCTACAGCTGATATTAATGCTGAAGCATTTACCTTGGAGTTACAGCATTCTATGAGTCCGATGGGGTCATCCGTTCGCCTCACTTCAGGTAATCATTAATTCTGTACAGTTTTTATTGCATTTTTACATGCTACTGTTTTCACTTTTACTAGTATCCTGTTTCTACAAATCAATGCGTTTATTCGTATCTTTTATCAGTAACTCTTAATAAAAGTTTCTGTATGATCATTACATTATGATGATACACTTCTATTGACTTAATTCCATTCATATTAGTCATTCAGTAATATGAACTAATTTCATAGTGTAAGATATCATGAATACTTTTATACTCTAGTAGACGTTCTATTCGTTTATACCTTACATTCCTTTAGTTCATTTAATTCATGCATAAGAAAAAAAGTGGTTTATATTATTTTCTAGGAATTACGCCACTGAAATCAATAACCATCATTTTTTAAAACAGCAACAAAACTTATACGCACTAACACAGTAAATGTGTATATAAAGCAAATGATACAACTAGTCATTTTACTATGGTGTATGCGTGTGGTTTTTTGTTTTTGTTCTCCCTAAAATTTGTGTGTATGATTATTATTATTATCACTATAATGAATTATAAAACTAGTAATGATTTAACATAGTGATGCTTAATTGGCAATTATCAAATCACAGGTTAAATTTCACCGTCTGCTTTAAGAAGTCATGTGTCGAATATATTCACTTTACTATAAAGTACATATTTTGTAATATCTATTTGAATTTTTGTGGTATATATTGTTGAGTAATAGTGGTAATGAAATTAATTTCTTTAGACAAAATAGTTTTTGGTTGTTCATTTTATCGAACCGGATTGATTGGTCTATAATAAGGTTTCAAGCGTCTTTGTACGGTTGTCTTGATATTATTATACTGAGGTTACTTATTTACTAGTTGCTGGCAGTGGGGTTAAGCACATAGGTTCGATCATATTCGGCATTCATCAGTTAGATATCTAAATAACACCGAATGCTTTTTGCATACCATGTGGCTATTGTATTTCAAGAGCCAAAAGGATAACGCCTTGATGTATGAGGTAATGAGACCTTGGATTAAATTCTTAGTGTAGTCATTATCACCTACTAGCATACAGGTAAATGGCAAGTCTCAGATTTTTCGAAATGTGTATCCTGGATTCCACTGCTGGTAAACAGAATGCATGTTTTGTTATTATGGGACTAGGTAAATCTCGATTATGGCCACCATTTTTACCTTTTATCTTAGGGAACGAAGTTATTTATCGAATTCTTAGATAAGTAAGAAAATTGATGAGATATTCAATTAATCACCATTCGTAGTAAATTCTGAAACTTTCTTAAACGGGTTGGTTTTCTCCCTCGCTTGTTATTCAACAATCATAATAAAAAAGCCTTAATTCAATTCTTTTTAGTTATAAACGTGAATAGCCCAAGAGCAATGTGTTACACAATAATGTGAGCTGATATTTTATTACTGTAAGCAGTTGAAAATTCTTTTCAATTGCTTACAACCGAACTAATATCCGAATTTACATATTATCAAGTTGACATGGTGTTGTTGACAGAATCAACCAGTAACACGTGAAGGATAAATAATGCAAATAATCAATGTAGGAGGGATCGTTACGTGTGTGGGCTACACAGGCGGTTAGTTACGACTGGGTTCGGCCGTACAAGGTAACTATACCGAGAAGAAACAACTGAAGAAGCGTTATCTGGTGTGTAATAATGATTATCCGCAGTGATTCATTCATAAAATACAAGAGGTTTGATGTGAAAAGAATGGGGTGCAGCGTAGTATACATTATGTTTGTCCTTTTACAACTTACCTTCAAGGATGATCAAATTGTTGTTAGAATTAACTACCGATTGAACTCTACATTGAGTGAAACCTATCTCATTGCTAAGCTGATCTGTAAATAGCAGGCGGATTGTTCGTTGTAGCAATCTTAATTTGTCCAATTCCTGTCTTATTTTACCCCCTCAACTGTATCTGCCAATTTACGCGTTCGTGCCAAAGCCGATAAATTGAATTAACAGAGAGGAGTGTCTTGTTTCGTATTTCTCAGCTCATTTCCAATGATTTAAAATTAAATGGTGCACATTCATTGAAAAATACATGTGCGCGTCATCCTACTGATATTGCACACCGCGTGGACATCCTCTGCCCGTTTAAAGTGATCAGAAAGCAAGAGAATTCAACCGTATTGCGTTATACTGAAGTAACAGCCATCAGAAAACTTTAAGCAAATCTTTTTATTCGAAAAAAAACAGTTGTCCACCTTGCATTGCTCTGGTAATTACAGTTTATGAAGAAATGTAGTCCAGCTTTTAACATACCATTCTATCTTCAAGTATTTTTTTCATTTTCGAGGCTTAATTTTTAATCTGAATACTAAGTGGAGCTGTGCCTCAGTGGTTTACAGAAATAACTACCAGTCAGTGGGTCACGGGTTTGAACCCTGTTCCACTTACCGAGGTTTTCGCAGCCATAATTACACAGCTTAACTGCTTGGTAATGTTCTTCCTGGAGTTTAATATAAACTACTAAAATGTCCAAGTGCGTTATAAAATCGGACTTTCTCAGGATTTAGCTAAAATTACTAATGCATAAAATATTGGCTCTTTTAGCAGGATGTTAGTCAAGATGACACTATTTTAGCCTTCAGCGTCCATGCATACCTATTGGCTGCTAAAATCTACATTCGAAATTATTCAAACGTCACGTTTATCCGTAAGTCATAAATAACACCCTCCTGCAATAACAAGCAGTCAAGTTATGTTTAAGGTAGCGTCTAGATAATAATGCTCAATTTCCATACATTTAGCATATTATTGAACAAACCCATCAATCATAGAAAATTGGTTGAAAGTTTAGTGAAACATTTTTTATTGCATGGTCGATGTTCATATCGTATGATTCTTTATTGTTTACCCTAGAAACGTCAATGTTTACTCTAGTAGACTAGAATGTGATATTACTCATGGTTTTATATTGTTGTTTTACTGTAAAGTACATTGCTGTGAAAATGCAGTTTTGATTGGCTATATGCGCCTACACACCACTGCTACTTAATTGATAATAGACAATAGATTCTGCCTCCAGATTAAATGACTTGTAAATCGGTCAGATTTGTTGTTGCATACTTAGTGAAATATAGCTTTTACTTAATCTTAAAGGTGATGCAAAGTTTACAAATAATGATAAGTTTTTATTTTGGTAATATTTCTAGCAAAAACTTATCATTATATGTAAACTTCGCTTTGAAAAGTCACGTATAACACAATCTATTTTACATTGCATAAACGTTTCGTTGATATGTGACAATCTGAGTTATGTAACTATGATCTGATTATTAGAAAGAAAAAGTGTTAAGACAAAGAACATAGGTCGCTAGAACTATACTGGATTCTTATAAATATGCAAAGGATTATATGTTCTCTGTGATCTATTTTGACGAACTGAAAATGTAGATAAGAATTGAGGAAGTTACCATAATGTCTACCACAAATCACGTAGGTCAGATTACGAAAGAATTCATTGTTTCACAGTGAATTCACTAAACTGAAAACGATTATTTTCTGGTAGTTAGATTTAGCACTCTTATCATAAACACATTCCAAATCGATTTTCAATTGAACCTAGTTTGTATTCACTCATTATTTTTTCAAGAAGAAATGTTGACTTTGAGATATGTATTTTTGAGTGATATTAAAGGCCACCCTAGCAACTACTGGAATAGCCAATCAGGTTTCATTATTTTGGCTAGGAAGTTAGATTTTCATAAAATACACAGCTATAATTGGTTGTTTTAACAGTTGCTAGGATGGCCTTTAAAGTCGACCCAAATTTTCATAAAATTAAGAAATTTAATTGATTATTTCAGTTGTTGCTAGGACGGCTTTTAAAATCACTCGTATCTAAGCCATAGATATTCTCTGATGCTGCTGAATATAATCTGAAGTTTATTAATTTAGAAACAGTATACGTAGGTGAATCTATTCTTACACGGTACATTTTTGGTTGATCTACATACCCAGAATATATCCTTAACAAACGTTGTTTCTGTGCCATAAAAATCATAAGAAGATATGCAAGCGAATAATATTGTTTTCATCAGGCTTCACTCTAATACATATAACTTTCGACATATACATAAAATATGAACCAATCAAGGTAATTTGTGAGTCAACGATAACAAAGATGCGGATTGTGTACTATAGAATAATAAAATTAATGGTAGTAAAAAGGATAATATGAATGTTCGAAGAAAGGTAAACAAAGCGCGCTCAGCAACCTTATGCATAACTGTACAACAGACAATGTGCTATACGTATTGTGTCAGGGCTAGTGATACCACCTGGCTGCCCAAACCTCGGTAGGTGTAACCGGGTTCAAATTCGTGACCCACTGGTTGGTAGTCATCTCCATAAACTACCGAGCCACAGCTCCAATACGAATGTTCAGAATGGTACAACAATGTAAAAAAAGTGTTCAGACAGGCAGATAAAGTAGGTCATAGTTTGGAAAAGGACAATGAAGTTGCCTAATACGGGAGTCTGAAGGCAGTGAAGAAATAATCAAGTTTGAATGTGAATATAATAGGGTTATCAAAGAGGTGACAAAAATTAAAATAAAAGGGGGAAGAGGGACATTTTAAAAATTGTAAGTAAGGTCACTCGTTAAGTCTTCATTGGTCAAGGCAGGGATAAAGGGTGTACAAATTTCTTTTGAATCAAAGTTACTTAGTTTCACCACTTCCATGTTTTTTTTTTACCAATTTAATTGTTCCTGGGGAGAAAGTTGTATCGGATATACGACTAGGCAACTTATTAACCAACAGATTACAGAACGCATACCTTCTTGGCTGGGAATAGGTTATGGTAAATTTATGAGAAGCTTTATTTTGTTGATAGCGGTCACAGAGTGGATAAAACGAAAGCGTTCAAAGCTATTCACCGAGTTCGAACTCGCCTCTTACATATAACTAATTCTATACGAATTCAAATGAACAGTCCCGAACTTTGCATGCCAAAAAAATTTGTACACCCTTTATCCCTGCCTTGACCAATGAAGACTTAACGAGTGACCTTACTTACAATTTTTAAAATGTCCCTCTTCCCCCTTTTATTTTAATTTTTGTCACCTCTTTGATAACCCTATTATATTCACATTCAAACTTGATTATTTCTTCACTGCCTTCAGACTCCCGTATTAGGCAACTTCATTGTCCTTTTCCAAACTATGACCTACTTTATCTGCCTATCTGAACACTTTTTTTTACATTGTTGTACCATTCTGAATATTCATATTGTTTTCTATGCTGTGCGTCACAAATACTTTGACTGTCACCTATACCGTGGTTCCAAAATTGTTCTTCATTATTCTTGTTGTTATTCGAGAAAAACTCACATTGTGTTCTTTAAATTCGAACGGTTGATTGTAACAAGAAAAACTCAACTGAGTTTCTGTCTTTTTCTGATGATTCCTTAATTCGCTTACAAGCAAAATAAAGCTGAAAAGAGAAGAAAATGCTAAGACAAGTTTATTGGCAATCTGTTATATGATAATGATCAGCTATAAACTGCATTTATATTTGTTAATCCTCTTGGAGTGACTCTTGATCAGTTGTTTAAAATATTAGTTTATTCAGTCGAATTCATAGTTTCACGCGAATGTTGCAAATTTCAACTTGACGATTGAAAGGAATCGAATATTTGATAATTCGAGTCTGTGTTGTGAAAAAAAGACTTCTTTGAATTTTTTTTCCGGCGATTTCATTGTCAAAAGTTGTAGAGTTGCACTTAAATCATTAATTAGTATGCATCTTTATTGGTAAAAGTTGCCCATTCGTCAATTAATTATTCTTAGTAGGTTATGTCGAGGAAAATAATCATAATGTAGAAATAAAGTTGCACAAGAAAAATGGAAATATTTGACAATGTAAATAAGGAAGTTGAAATCAAGAATTGAATAATAAGTACCAAAGTGGGTAAACAACTGTAGGTGCGGAAGGAAGTGGGAAATTATTAAAATCATGAAAATTTTAGAAAAATTAGTTAAGCTTAAGAATTAGAAAGTTAAATTAAGAATTGAATAAGAACTATGAATGGCAAACTCACTTCTGGATACGTATTTATGGTTTCCATTTTGTGTTGCCAGAACTTCACCACTGAAAAGGAGACGCTTTATGACACCCTTTAGAGGATTGGGTTCTGTTTCCCAAAAAACTGCAAACGAATTTCCTGGAGGTATTTCCGCTGTTAACTTAATACAGTAATATAGTTATTGATCGATCTGCCGTAACTTTTACTGAGGCATGCTGGAAGGTGTTGATGTTAAACAGTTTTTCTATGCGTACGGCTTGAGTACACCTAGCTCCACAGCAGCAAGTTAATTGATATGCGCATACAGAGGTAACTGAGAGTGGCAGTTTCGCCTTTTCACATATGTTCACCATTGATCAACTAATATAGGTGATTTACAGAGTGACTGCATAGAATGCTCTCTTGACAGCCTTCATTTACTTGCGTTTTAATACCTCATCTGGTGCGTTTTCATTGAATTCCTAGAGTCTTTTACTTCTGTGCATGGGTAAGTGACTGTTATGTAGCATCACAATAAAGGTTTTTGTTTATAGATCTCTCTGGATATCCATTTCGGATGATCGTCGAACTTAAAAGTTGAACTTCATCGTTTACAGTGTTGGGAGTATATATATATATATATATATATATATATATATATATATATATATATATATATATACACGAATGTTAACTACAGTGATACATCCTGATATAGGTTACTATAGTTCTAATTATTGACAGTAATACCATTATTCCTAGTGTCATCACATTATTGGAATAGTTTTCGCAGAATAAATTACATTCCTTCACTTTTCACAATATTTTATGTAGACATCGCGTTGAAACGTTTGGGTTCAAGTGCATTCGACAGTATTAGCCAGTATAGACTGAGCAGTTGGTTAAGTCATCAGGAAGATTCACATCGTATTGTTTTCTTTGTTTGTGACTGTCAACGAGCTTCCGTATGGAATCGTATATGCATTCGTCAAGCTGACTGTATACTGGTCTTGGCACTGGTCTCATCTGATCCAGCACGTCCTTCACCCATCGAAATGGCTTTGAAAAACGACCCTACAAAGGTAAGTGATCCTTACTTGTCAGATAAAGTTAACTTTTTTGTATCCTCCAAAGAACTATATAAAGATCCTAGAAGATTTGCATTTTGCCGATGACTTGTGTCTGATGTCACACAAACTGGAAGATCTACAGGCGAAAACTAACAAGTTGACAGAGGAGGCAGCGAAGATAGGACGTCAAGTGAGCGTAGAGAAGACAGAGGTGATGAAGATACCCAACCAACGACAGCATCAACAACAAGCACCAATCACCATCAACGGGAGAAACTTTAAGGAAGTAGCCTCTTTCACCTATCTGGGCAGCACTGTTTCAACTACAGGCGGCGGTGGCACAAACGAGGATGTCAAAGCAGCCAGGATCGGAAAGACAGCAAGACAGGCTTTCATTAACCTGAAACCAGTGTGGAGATCTACTACACTTAGCATGTGTAACAAGATCCGGATTTCCAACACTAATGTCAAGTCAGTGCTTCTGTATGGCTCAGAAACTTGGCGCGTCACAAAAAGCACTTCCAATAAACTACAGACATCAACAGCTGCCTATGCTGGCTCGTTACTGAAGATCAGATGACCAGAAAGAATAAGAAACAAGGAACTCTGGCTGGCTGGCAACGAACCAACGAAGCAAGAACCTATCGCTCAACAAATATGCACTGGAAGGAAGTGGAGATGGATTGGGCATACACTGAGAAGACCATTCGGGGACATCACGCGCCAGACCCTCGAGTGGAATCCAAAGGGGAAACGAGGAGTTGAGAGTCCGAGGCGAGAGTGATATGAAGGAGATGGTGTGAGGAAGAAATGAGAGCTTGTAGGCTATCGTGGAGCCAGGTTGAAAAGATTTCAGAGAAGAGAGTGGAATGGAGACGTGCTACTGAATCCCTATGTTCCACTAGGAACCCAAGGGACAAATACTAATAATAATAATAAAGAACTATATTCTTGTTTTTCCTCTTTAGGTCGCTAAAGTTCTGGTTCTTATGTATCCTCTTGACACGGATTATCCAGAATCTGGTAAGACTGCTGTTTGGTTGAACGCTCGACCATGGATTAGTCAACACTATCATATCCGTTGTGAACCTCGTGTGTTCATTCCTCGCTCTAAACGGAATCTTATCAGTTTCTATTCAAAAGTATTCACTCGTGAGAAGCCTAATCCACTATCTGATTTCTCTCGTCTTGCAAGGTATTTGGCAGGTGAAGCTGTTGGTCTTGTTTTAGGAGGTGGAGGAGCAAGAGGGTGTTCACATGTTGGACTGATACGTGCATTTCAAGTGAGCAGTTATTTCTTATTGCTATTCAATATATTGAATTTTTTTTGTCTATCTTATGGATGGAAAGTGGAACAGAATACCATCCAAATGTTTAGAACTAAGACTATTTTGATGCGAACTGACTTTTTTAATACTGATAATAGTAGTAATAATAATTTCTTTGTATTTCCTAAACGTTATTTTGAATCAGACATTGCAGATTTCGTCAGCGACTGGATAATTACTACTTTTACTTTGTTTTTCTGAAAAATGAGCATCTGGTGCAGTTAGAACATACTTTCAAAGTAGTTTTACTGCTTTTCAATTATCCTGACAGTATATCTGTGCAAAACATAAAAATTCTCGCTACTGGCTATTAATTAGTATTTGGGTAGTATGTCAGTATCTTTCATTTGGTGTTCAATTGTGCAGTTGATTTATTTGAAATTGTGTACAAAATTAAAGCAATACGGTATGGTTTAATGTATAACGAACTGTGTTTTCAACATTACATAATTTTTATTAGGCTCGAGTTTAATCACTAGCAGTTTAAAACAAACACTCAATGTAGAAACCACTGGGTAATGTAGATAATTGAACAAAAGTGTATCAGTTAAAATCACCTTAACATTTTAGAAACATACTACTGGAAAAACAATGACACACTGATTGACAAAATCAATGTAGAACCTCCCACACAGGTGCATTAGCTTTTAGTATCCATTGTTTGTGGTTTACAATAGCCATGTTTACTGTATATATGCATTTTCCTTGAGATTTAGAAGGTTCCAGCTAATTCGAATCCAGTAGTCATTGGTGGCTAGCTTCGAGAGGTGATTCCCGAAGTTCCAGTTGTAAGTCTTGACTGGTGGGGTCAACCAAGTAGACCATTAGGACAGTTACTCAACTACGACATGGGATGTAGGTCACTCTATATCGCGAACTGACAGAAGTAGGAAATGCAAACCGTTGGATTCCGACCCAGTGGTTGGATGACAAACTCCTGTCCATGGGACCTTGGGCTCGTCTCCTAACGAGGTCATGGGTGCCCACTGTTGACGAGTCCCACATTAAGACGAAATGACTGTTCAGTTCTCTCGAGTTTCCAATGCTCCCAAATTGATGTTAGTCCATGATGAATACCAACCTGAAATTAATAAGTAAATCCCCATAAGCTTCCTCAATGAATTCGAACGAAACAGGAATTGAATAAAATGTGCTCATTTTATTTAAGTTTTTTTTCTGCAGTTGTAAAACCACCCAAAGTTGAATTGTGTCGCTCGAACTGGTCAATATATTACGTATGTTTTTAAAAATATAAGGCCACAATTCCAGAAATAAGAGTAAGACAGGATAGCTACAAATTCAAGCAGTGAACCGTGGTGATTTGTTTGTGATCCGATATAAAATTCCGGAGTTGTGGAAATAAAGAAATACAATCATTAGATCAAAAGTGAAGGGAGTTATGAATATAGTGAATAGACCGACGCACAGGTACAGGCACGTCCATCTGACGAGTCTTAAATAGGACGAAACGTGCGTCTCGGATTCCATTGCTAGCCGCTATGCATGATTAATATAAAATTCAAAAGTACCGGCAATACTGAGGCATCACAATACCACTGGGCCGATCAGTTTGGTTCGATCAACGACGGAGGTGCTTAAGCTATGACATCGATGACAGTGAATGAAGCATTTTACTCAGATTTTTACTGTGCATAATTCAGTTCACTTTTGCATTGTATTTTAACTGAAGGTAAACCGTGAAGTAAAAATCAGCTCATTTCAATCAGAAAAAAAACTTTTCTTGATTTATTTAGAAATATCGAAACAATCAAATTTTTGGAATTCCAGTAAATTGTTTTTGTTTTATTGAATTGCCTGCAGAATCAAATAGGAGTAAACTAAGAGTGGCATTTAGTTGTTTTTCTGAGTCTTTCCTTAGTGCTGTTCACCGTATGATGAACTGAGTTATTACTTTTTAAAATATTTAATTTAAGTTTAGTGAGAACATAAGTTTTAACAAAATAGCATGGATCCATTATATTTTGCAGTTCCTCGTCAGTTGTTTTAAACTCAGAACAATTTGATTGTCAGATTATACAAAACGTTATATCAATGTTATTTTTTCTTTAGATAGATAATTTTCTATCATATCGACTCAAGCATTCAGACATTTTGTGATATTCAAATTGTTTTAGCTTCAAAGCAGTTGGTGAGGAACCCGGAAATAAAATGGATCCTGATTGAGCCGGAATAATGGATTCATTTGAAATGATTTGTTGCTTCTATGAATTTTGACAAGGAAATAAGAGGGCATAATTTATCTGAATCGTGTAATTTATTTGTGCAACACATTTCGAACAATCTGATCACATGGGTACTTATCACTGGCATGTATATGAAAAACAAATAAGTTAGGGGGTAGGAAAACGATTATCGATCAAATAAGTAGACTATATTGAAGGTCAAAATGACAGTGAAAATTAATAAAGGAACAACAACAAAAAGTTAATAGTACAATAACCCTAGATTGAAAACCGAAGGTTTAATGTGATAACAAATTGTTTGTGAACGCATAAAGATGGCTTAAACCCCTTAGTGGTGAATGTCTCAACAAGTCTGATACATGGGCTGAAATGGCATGCATTTTATGCCCCATTTCAATATGTTTAGTTATTCGGGAGACTGGATGTTTTGTTTCCAGCATCAAACGGATTACCCAACTCTATTTGTTTTTGACACCACCTTAGAATATGTTCCGTGGCCTTTATTTCCAGTGACCGATGAGTCCTATGTACATCATGATGACACGTATACTTAAATTGGTAAATACAATGGGATGTGATATCATCTTTGAGTTTATAGGTGTCGAATTTTCAACTATACGAACCTTAGCTGCATAATATGTTTTAATATTGGCAGCGTTAAGTCTCTGTCTGACTGTGAAACTATTCGCTATTCATAGTCAGAGATTTAATGGTGCTAAAAAATGTTCTCATCCAGGGGTGGTCATCTATAAAACACTTCAGTGGTATTCCGATGCTAATTCAGCATCACTAGTCTTTCGGACATGAGGTTATTATGTTATTGTATTGAATGATTGGAGACTAGAAAATTACCAAGTACTTACTAAGTTTGCTATCAAATAAAGAAGTTTATATTTAGTACTGTTGTTTGAATCTTTCCACTTATACATTTCAGAATATATGCTTATTTTGATGTCGGTTTTCGTCAGTTTAGATACACGCTTTGATTGCATACTTTTGGTTGGTCCAAATCTAAACTCCCTGTTTGTGTTGGATTCCTGCTAAAAATTTTTCCGAATTAAAATAAACAAAAAATTCACTTTAATTACATGCTATGAAATATATAATTCTCGATAAGTGTTATCAAGTTGTTTTCGTTGTACTTTGCTCTGATTTCTAAAATAGGAAGCTGGTATCCCAATCGATTTAATTGGAGGCACAAGTATTGGCGCATTTATGGGTGCTTTATGGGCTGATGAGACCCGGGTTGCGCAGTTCACTCAAAGAGCTAGAAACTTTACCAATTGTTTCAACTCTATATGGAATAAAATAAAAGATTTCACTTACCCAGCTGTATCTATTTTTTCTGGTAAGAACTTCCTAAACATTTTGTCTGCTATTGCAAATATAATCTCACTCCTTGCTATTATAGGGGTTTATTATTTTTATGAAACCTGATTTGATTCCATAAATAATCATTGTACTTCAGTTACTATTGGAAACCCAAATATATGACTCAGTATATCTAAAATTTAATGATTGAAATTCAAAGAAACACGAAAGTTATAGAGTGATAAATCAAGGGCATAAATCTATTGATACTTTACCATCATGGATATTTGCATGCTGTCAGAGGGAGAAGAAGTAAGGTATCATAGGCTTTAGAATGATCAAATCGAGATATCGGAGCAATGCATGGTCTCTGATCTAAGGTTTGTGATGTAAAGTAGGCTTTTTGGATGAGGTTTACAAGGGAGTTAGAAATGAGAGTAGGTGAATTAGCTGCAAACCTATGGTATATTAAGTTGTACTGATCAGGATCGACCGCAGTAGTATAGCTACGATCACGCTTTATTTCTCCTTTTTTAATGTTGAGTATCTTATTTTGTCTTTTTCCTGCATAAATATGCTTTCTTCACATTCGTCTTTATTACTTTACCACTGTTAATGTGAAGTTTCTCTTCCTTCTTTTTCTCTCCTGTTGATTTACACTGATATCATTTGCAGAAACTGAAACTGATGCGCAATTCTGTTGTCTTCTATGTTTTTTCTGTCTTCTCACAGTTACAGTTTTCTGTTAATCCAGCCAAAGTTTGTTTTTAAACCTTCATCCAGGACTTCGTCTCCATACTATCGTATAATAAGTGTATAAACGCATCGACTTAAAGTACTCGAGACTATTTCTACGCGTACATTTTAGAACAAACTTTAGTCTACAAATGCTTTTGAATAATCTTTCATGCAATAAGCTTTTGCAAGAGACGGACAGCGTCAAAATAGGACCAGGTATTACTGCGTAACCGTCAAACCTGACACATCTTATATCAGCACATCAAGCGAGAATGCACTAGGATGAAAAATAAAGAAATGGAAACGAAAGTAGTAGAAAGTTATGACAAGATAACCTCGTTACACCTTACCAACAGTTTTCTCAATTTCCAGGTGTTGGAGGTCCTATCTAGATTTTCCATTCAGGCTCTGACTGGATAGTGAGCAGTGAAATAGTAGCTCGAGGTTAGTTAAACTCTTCCTCTCAGTGCTCCGCCCATCATTCCAGCCGACTCCCTTGCGAGTGGTCATTGTGCTGAAACTTTGTCAGTCTACATTTGTGTTGTTTCCACTCCTCATTATACTTGAGGCCTGTAACGAAGAAGCCGATAATTATTTACTGGCCATTTCCAACCAATTCGTGAGAGTTGGCTGCGGTCTTCAACACTGTTTTTACAACGGGCTGGAGATAGCACCAGTTTTCTAGATGACTGATGTTGTTATGTTCTGATAACTGTCTGGACAGTCTCTCATCGAAAGCATACTGTTCTCATTTTCCAGCTGTACACGCAATAGTTGAGTCGTAATAGTTTTTCTACATCTGTTTAGGTGCAGACATACATATGTTCAAAACAACGCATAGTCTCTGTTCAAACAGTTGCTCCAAAAAGAGCAGCAGTCTTCCACCGATCCTTTCTTCCTACGACTCATCAAAATGTGGTCTATTCGTGATCATCACTAAGTTGAGGTTAACAGGCATGACGTTGGAAAATGTCTCCCTTTATGTCTAAAGTCCTTACTGGCTAGAAAATATCGGTTGTCTGAGCACAGTTGTATCAGGCGATCGCTGTTCTGTTCGTTCGGCTAGTATTCCGTAAGTGCCTTTCGGCCTGACATAGCTTACCCACCTGTACACTGAAATCATCTAAAACAACGACGTTCGAACGTCTGGGTTTCAGAAGGAGGCTAGACAGTTTCCGTTAAAACTCATCCTCCACCTCATCCGAACTGCAGTTAGTGGGTGTGTAAACAGAGATTACAGAGACTCGACGGCGAACTTCACTGTTCTTTAGAGTTCCCGCTGTCGTTCAGCCGAAAAGTATATAGGCATCGGTCAACCGGAATCCAGTCGAGCAGTGTACTTCCTGCCATAGCACTTAGTGCGATGCCTACATCCGCAAAACGAGGACAACTAGCCATCAAGTATGCAGGAACTTGAAAGATAAATTTTGCGGATTTACCATATTGACTGGGTGAGGTTTAGTGAATAGGCCCACTTGGGTCTTGTATGCGTATCTCACAAACACAGCACACATCTATGGCCCAAGATGCCAGGATTTTGGCTAGTGAAACGTATTGACTAGTTTGACGGAGTGTGCGGCCGTCGAAATTTCTAATGTGTGATTTGGAGCGTGGTTTTAGGAGATCAGGTATGCTGTTGGGTGAACTGACTTCACTCTCAAGAGCTGCAGATGATGTAGGAATGTTTAACGAGAGAAGTGAAGGAAGATTAGAAGTTAAGGATGTAGAAGGTAGATAGTGATCTGAGGGAAATCGAGTGCTGATACAGTTATGAGAGTGGTTGACACTTCTTAGCTGTCAAGATCACGAGAGGCTAGTTCTTCTTGAGGTACGTGAAAAAGAAGGGTTAATGCGTGACTGCAAAGTTCAAGAGATATCTGGTTGAGGCCGGTCACATACTACTTTTTGCGAGTCAGAAATTTTGGCTTTTGTCTTTCGAATCCGACTGTTAACCCATATCATTGACACGTTTGTAGTGAGGTAGAGGGAAGTGTGCTATTTTTAGGGCTAACCTTTTCTAAACCCTCTTTTCATATAGAAAGCAGGACCAGCGTGGCACTGCTGGTCATCCAAAGGAAACACCTTACTGCTGTCACGCTCCATCCATCCAGCAAAAAGACTTCGCCGTCCGACTCTTATCATAGTGTAGCAATTTAAACTATAACGACAACTGCTTTTTCTCTTACCACTTTCCAACTGATCTTAATGGTATGATTGAATCTCCAAATAACGGTCGTTTAACCAGCCTAGCTGGTTGGGCCATTGTGACGCACAAGCTTGAGCACCACGTTAGTGTAGCAGCTATTTGTCGGGAAACGTCTCGGAGGAATTCGAAACAGTTCAGTTTGGTTCTTATAGAAGAAAAAGCACGGACGAATTGATTCTACCATAAATCAGGCCATCAGGTGAAGTGTTTGCCTGGGGGATTTGTAAAGTCTTGAGTTTAAAACTGTTCCAAACACCTGTTATCTGTAAAACTCCAAGGAAACAAACTGTATATGAACTGATGTCGATTGCATGTAACCACACGAATACATATCTCGATGTTATTTCACTGCCTTGTAAATTAGGCTCGAAGTTAAACACTCTAGAGGAGAGCTCGCTGATGCATTATGAGGCAGCTTTACTGAATTCCTCTTATTTTTTCAAGTATTTACTCGATACTGTAGTCAAGATGATGATGAAAGGTTTCCGGAAGGTATGAGGAAATTAGATTGTTCCCTTACTCAAAAATGATATGATTATAGTACTCATTTTATAAAGAATTTATGTAGACTATATAGAAACTATCCAGTTTTAAATCCACCGTTGTGTCTAAAAGAATTACCGAAACAATTCCTTTCAAAATATGAGTCCTTTACAATATTACCTGTGAATAATTTAAATCTTTTCTGGGTAATCAAAGCATTGTCTGCAAGTCAACTGTTCCTCGAATGGTGTTGCACGTATTATTGGTCAACATTTGTTGCAGTACTATGATCATGTGTCAAGATTGTATGTTGTAATTGACTGTATGGCTATTGGTTATATCATCTGGGATGGTTATCCTAATAGTCCTATGCAAAGATACTTAATGTTGTTTGTAATCGCATTCTGATGTGTTTCTCCAAATTTCTTCATAATTTTCTGTTCTTCAAGTTCAGGTAGTTATGACCACCTTTATAAAATAAAATCCCTAAAATGTTATTCATATAAAATCCCGTAGTACATTTCATATGGGACGATTATTCAATTCTCTTACCTGACGAAGGAAGAAATAATTTAGTCAACAAACTAGTTTAACTTTAGCCTTTACGATTTCAAACATGATCTGTCTGATCTATTTATTGAGGACGTACAACATGCTAATCATTTCCTGCAGTTTTGCGCACTATCATATTGAAAGCTCTATAAATTGAAGCCTTAATATGATCAGACAACGAAGTTTTTTTCGAAACAGTTAGTCTCTTTTATGAATTCGGATAAAGTAATTAAAAGATGTAGGTTATCTGGAAGACGTGGTGTATTTGCGCTACACATTTCGAACAATTTAATCACTCATTTATCTGTCAAGGCTCCTTATATGAAAATCAAAAGTGGTGGAAGGACAAATAGAAATAACGAATTCAATACTAAGAAAGATAATGCGAGAGAATGATAAGATTTGAACATAATTTCGGTAATACTTTCTTTTAAGCATTACCAAGGTAGGTTTAGCGTAAGGCCAAACTGTTTTTCGCCAGGGGTGTGTACTTAGGTTTGTTGAAGTGCTAGTCTTACACCCCAGTTGTGTGTTGAAAAACACTTTGTATTTCATCTTATTCATTCGAAATCCAATTTTTGAAATATAAGACATCATTTAGACATAGATTTCATGCATATGTACCGCCTCAATTGTAAGAAAAGTGTGACTTTTGATCTAATAATTATGAATGCTTAGTTTTCATTACCCGAATACATTTTTACTAAAAATCACTTTATCTGGGGTTAATTTTTCAAAGCAACATCATTTATGTATACAGCATGATTATTGTGCTAAATCAAATAACTTTTATGTACGAAAGTATTCCTTTTAATTTTTATTTCCACTGACGAAATTATTTCATTTATTAAAAATAAACTACACATTTAATTTGTAATAATTGTGAGTTTCATTGTATATATTTTCAAATCTATCCTTAATTGTCATAAATCAAATGGTGGATTCATTGATGAAAAATATAATCGTGGAATTTTGTTTTTAAAGAAGGCTAACTTCTCAAAAATGTCATTAGAAAGTACAAATAAATATGAATCTTTTACTACTCATGTTTTTTAGAAGTATACTTTCTCCTACAGCTAATGCAAAAAAATCCTGAAATATCACGTGATTAAAACTGTAACGCTCAACCGTTACATCCTTTCCTCATATCTACGATTTTTCTGCCAATGACTGAATAATTACTAAATAAGCATTAACTGGAATCCAATATGCCTCTTACTATTGCGCAACAAGTTTTGATTTGTGTAACCATAAAATGTGCGCACTTTCAGTATTTCATTTATATTTAACGTTAGTAATTATGAAGGTATGAATTATTGAAATTGTTTTGTTGTTACTATGCCATGGATTACAGCATATGGTCACATTTTACCCTCAAAATAGTCATGTGCATGGCTTTGCTGATTCAGATATCATTCACACAAATAACTGATTTGAATACTGTGTTCTAACAAGTTAGATTATGGGTAAACGCTTACCCAAAAAGTGTTGTCATAGTCATGAGTCATAAGTAATCGATGGAATATAGAACCATCCTCTGAAACTGAGTATAATTTCTATCTAATGGAACTGAATACTAAGACAATATATTATTCGACATCTTACCGGTAAAAAGCATTAAAATGGGTTATGTTCACTTTAGTAGGTCGCCTTTCGACTTTTCTAGAACGGTCCATCTCTTGTTTGTTAATAACTTCGTATAACTTTACAGTGTATCAAAAGGTATTCTTTTTGCCTTTGTTGTCTTACTATAATCACCAGCGAGATATTCATTACGTGAATAAAAATTTCGCTATTACTTAATAGTTAAATTCGTTGAATGAAATAATCTTTCTGGATCTGTGTGCCATGTATTCCCCACTGTAGTTTATCGTGTCATCCTTTTTTTTATCCAAGGTAAAGCTTCACCAAAAGTAGAGGTTACTTCGGCTACAAATGAGTCTTATACCCGATAAATATTGTTTAGCCAGTATTCTGTTACAAGTATTTCCATAGCTGTTACAAATCTATGAGTAAATGCTTAAAAACGTTATGTATTATTGCAAACATCATTGACTTTAAAATACAGAAGCGCCTTAGTCAAATTTAAAGATAACTCAACCACCATAGGTTGGAAACGAAGTGGTTGAGCACGCTGACAACTTCATTTATTTGGAAGTCAGATAAGCTCTAGTTGGCCAATGACCGATGAAATCTCTGCACGGATACAAAAGGCTCGATTAGCTTTCGCTAACATACACCGTTTATAACGCCACCGTGATATCTCACTGTTTACTAGGGGTTGGGTGTACTGCGCTGCACTTCGTTCTGTTCAACTACATGCCTATAAAACATAACCATTAAAGATAGAGGATGTGAGAAACCTTCAGGTATTCAACCATAGTTGTTTTCGTAGCCTAGGCTGTGTCGTGCTGTCATCATATCAGTAACACAGAAGTCAGGTGCAGACTTTCAAAGCAGCGAGGAAAATCAGTTGATGAGATTGTTAACCTTAAATGGTTCAGGTGGCTAGGACATGTGCTCCGCGTGTCTAGTCACTATCTGCCTCGCTGCACAATGTTAGCTGAGATAGGTTTATTATAGGAAGTTAGCAGTAGCCAGACTAAAACTTTTAATCATTGCATGAAGGCTTTGACTGTTGTTCTGAGGCGTAAAGGGGTTGAAGTCTTCTTGGTTGAGATCCGCATGAAAACTCAAATTGGTGGTTGGAAACTAGGCGACATGGCTCAGAATCGATCTCAGTGGCGCGAATGCATCCACATATGATCTTTATCTTATCTACTGATGCTGATTAAGTGATAGTAAAAGTGTCCCTAACGATTTCGGAACTTCTTGCAGGTAAGTGGTTTCAATTCAGTCTGTAAACTATGTGTTAGTCAACAAGGTTCCAAACGTGATGCAGTTTTGTATAAATTTGTCTTACCTTTACAAAGCATCCCACAGGAGATCATTTACATTTTTATATACACTTATATTTACTATCCTTTTTAGGTAAAGAACTCAATAATCAACTTATATCTGTATTTCACGATCGTCAAATCGAAGATTTTTGGATTCCATGTTTTTGTGTCACAACAGACATAACCAATTGCAAAATGCGTATTCATACTCAAGGTAATTTATCAGTATTATCTCAGTCTTTTTCTAAAGAAAAGCGGTTACTTCTTCGTACGATGTGTTTTACACAGAAATCGGATTTGCCTAACGAAAACTTAATTCACGGAATGTACAATGGAGTATTAAGTGGATTTACTGCTTCATTCGATTGCGCTTATAGGATGATAAAAAGAGAAGCACTTATTTCACTCAACAGTTTTTATATCTACCCTTTGTTCACTTTTGGATTTATGATATTCTAGAAGTTACTACGGAAAAATAACAGACAATTATATGTAGGGTAGTTTGTAGCTTTCGAATGCACTTGAAGCCACAGGATTTTCTCGCCTGTCTCGGGGTTCAATCTATTAAGACAGAAAGTAGAAAAACAACTAATAATTGCAGTAAAATAGAGTTTCGAAACGCTATCATAAAAGATCAAAAAAGAAAGGAATACAAAGAAACTAAGCTGTTGAAATAATAGAGAACTTTATAGCTCAGGTGGATGGTCTTGGTTGCATTGTGTTCTCGAATAAACAACCCAGCTCAGAGAACACAATACAACCAAAACTAAGGTGTTATGTGGAGACTAAATGGGAATGTATTCAACACAGCTAAATGGAGAATGAAAGCCATATCTATGCACTTCATGTTTCCCTATACCTTCGAATACTCTTTCTTTTCTTGAAGAGTCAATGGAAAAAGATGGGTTTACAGTTCACTCACAGGAGATGCAACAGGAAATATTTGCGGAAAACTGGAAGGGAAAGTTGAACTAATAGTCAGTTATATATCGGCAAACTTCTATTCCTTCTCAACCTAAATCTAAACATGGAAATGGGGATTTTCTCTTATTTCAAAATTGAAAAGGCCATCGATTACCTAGAACAAGTGTTGTAATCGACTAGCATCAGCGGTATTTAACAATAATGGTGTAGGGATATTGTTTTGATGGATTAATGTTTTAGTTAGGGTATGGGAATGATCCCCGCTAATTGGTCTCAACCAGTAATTATATCGATCTTAGAGAAAGGAAAGAAATAGCTTTGTGATAACCGCAGAAAAATGAGTTTAGCTAACAGTGTGTTACATCTTAGTTTCTGTGATCATCCGACATCTTACTTGAGCTTGTGTTAGCAGATTTATGAAATCCAGGCAATTTTCAGGCCTCGTTGTGAGTGCTCCAACCAAGTCTCCATCATCTACTAGTTACTGTGTTTCGTAACCTAAAGGCCACTTTCAGTTCCATGTATCGAGATATCTTATATCTGTCTCTCCCGGAGACGGGTGCCAAGCAACTACAATGTCCTACTAAATAGACTTCATGAGAAAGTACGCGGTTACGTCAGAGCTCATAGTGAGTTTTCTAAATCAAGTGGTGTGCATTAAGACTGTTCGTCCTTTCTATTTTTGAACTTTGCCATCGACTTACTTGCGCAAGTCTCTCTTCATGTTGAACTTAACAGAAATCGATCTTCTCACATGAGACTCCTTTGTAGACTTAAAGTTCTTCGACGATATATTCCTGTTAGACAAGAATGCCAACAGTTTTTTGAGTCTTCTGTGTATGTTAAGTGACAATTTGAGGATTTTTCAGATTCACTTCCCACTTTGCAAATGTCAACTGTTGCTTCAAAACTGATTTGTTTGAAAACCTCGTCTACCAATAGGGAATAATCTAATTGAACACGTTAATCACTTCGTATCATTGGCTACATGTTATAAAACCACCACGTCAGTAATCTACAGGTTAGGCGTAGAGTCTTACATTAAAGAGATGCCACTTGATAACGTTGTAAACGTTCACTTAATTACACTGCTAGAAGATTTATAGCTTATGCCTTATCACCGTGTACCTCAACACGCAACGTTACTGGAAGTGGGATCAGGTTGAAGGTCTGATGGTGACCAAAATAAAATGTGGCATCGATCCATGTTGTTTTTAACTGTTGGTCTGTGGTATGTTCAGAATCGATCTCAATGGGGCCGATAGATCTTTATCGTTATATCATCTTTCGGTATTCGCTCTATCCCTTCTTCTTTCTGGCTGTTCCTCTTCTATACATTTTGACTGTATTATCTCCACTTCTTTGTCTTCTGTCTTATTGTTTTGCGTCTTGGTATGCTCATTTTAGTTTTGACAACTTCGAGAATCAATCTGTACTGTCAGGTTTTATGTCACTGACCAACTGATCTGTAAGAATCTACCTATCAAACATGGGTTACAGATAGCAGCTAGCCTTTTCATACATTGTTGCTGTTACTTGGAGTTGGTTCCATAATCGTGACACCATACCCGATTTCCGGTTACCAGATAAAGTTAATCTAATTTAATACACGGAATGCGTACTCAGCCACTTTACTGTGTAGAATTCCACATCTATAGTAACTTATTTTTCTCTGTTCATTAAAAATTCTCTCTTAAGCATTCCAATACAAGGAATTAAATGAAGAGTTATTTCTTTCCAATTATCTCCTCATCAAACTGCTGTACACTAGTTTATAGGCTTTGAAAATCACATCAGAATGCCGATTGCCCCAATTAACAGTAGTCATAAATTAAAAGCTATTTGCGAAGTGAATAATTAAAGCGCCAACTAATGAGACAGCTAAACTATACGGCGGTAATAAGTGGGAAAATACAACGGAAACAGGTTATCAGTTGACTGATTTTACAGAAAAGCGAACTGAACATGTATTAACAATAATTACTAAAGCAAAATAAGATGAAAGCACCTAGATGAATATATGACAAGTAAAATATGACAAGGCATAACCCGAAACACATGTGTATCGGTTCAAATCTCCACATTTCACAAAGAAAAAGTGGACATAATAAAAGTTATATCAAAGTAAGTCGACAAAGTTGTATGACAGAACAAACAATTTGAAGGTTCAGACTTTACAAGATATCAAAGATTGAATACACCTGCGCCATTGTGATTGATTTTCAGCCATGTCACGAAGAATCCTCGACCGCTGATTCCTACTGTCTCGGGGATCCTATCCAGGTAGTCTGCATCTGCCTTCGCGGTTCAGACCAACAGTTAGAGACTTCATGCATTGGTGCCACGATGAGCACATTTAGGCGATTGACCATAAATATTTTATTTTCATTGCGTAAACTAAAGTGGAAAGTTACTTTACGTTGATGTTTAAAGCATTGAGAGGTTGTATAAACTCCTTTTTGATTCAACGATTTGGTTTATAAAGACGCATGACTATGACTTCCGTCGTTTCAAATCCCAAGTCCAGTCCCACTAGTGTTTACATCCTACTTGAATGAAATTCAATAGGCATTGGTGATCATATACACGTTTGCTTTTTATATCATTAACTTTCAACAAGTGTGTTTGACAACACATTGTCGAGTTTATTCTATAGTTATTAATTGTACCACGTATCGTAAACATCGCAGTTAGTGAACGGAAACCTGTATTTGGAGATTTCATCTACTATATAGTCTGACGCTGTTGCTTATGCAGATAAACGGGTGAACACATTGAACTCCATTGGTTGAAAAATTCTTGGTCTAATTAGGTCAGTTTTCAAAGTCAGACAGAGAGTATGTTTCTAGTCTGTATTCTGGAAACCGATAGAAAACGCATTTCAAACAAAACCTTCTTCAAGTTAGCCTGGTGACTTCATTATCCTCGGGGATGTTATGTTAAGGAGTACTCTGGACTAAATCTTGAGCCTGGGAATGCTATGGTCAGTAGGCGTATATTTTTAGGGTTTCTGGTAAATTGTTCGATAATTTTTGTAATCTTGATCATGGCATTTTACTCCTTTTAATGCTGTCATATCTACAGGTTTATTAGTCTGACAGTGCTATTTAAAAGCTACCAAAATCTATGCATGCTTTAATGTTTCATTTCTTTTCTGCTGATATGGATATTTGGTTCAACGAAGAATGAGATATCATTGTATTTGTAACTAGTGGTTGGGAAAGTTAGTTAATATCAACACAGGACTTCTTGTCAAGTTGCCATACCTCACATTAGTACATCTAGATTAGACGCATCAAAACAAAAGACAAATAAATTAAAGAAAATGTCATCAAAAGTCTTAGAAAATTATAAGAAAAGAAGAGGTGGAAGAAAAGCGAATAATGAGATGTGATATGGCGGTAGAAATTGAGATAATGGGTGGATGCATCTATGCCACCTCGATTCATTCTGACCCTAATCGTCAAAATTCTCCAGTCATCGTTTTTGTCACGTGAACGTGAGGCAGGAGGCTTGCGTTTTCGTACACAGCTTGAACGAACATTAAGGGACTTCATCAATAGATTGAGGAAAAAAGTAACACTTTGAAATTATGTGGACTGTTAGCTTCCTGTGGACATGTGTATTTGTGCAGATGCTCCAGTTTATTTTCTTCAGCCTTCGCAGTTGCTTTTCGTTATACATTTAAAGACCGACCTGTACTATTTGTATCTGTCCTTTGGTGAAACTGGCAAAAAATAGAAGCTTCACAATTACGCATATAGAGTAGACAGCATTGTGAAAATTTCCGTAGTTAATAATGATGTATAACAAAAATATAGCAAATATAAAAAACTAACATATGCATTGGTAGTGTAATCAAGTTGTCGTAAATAAGAATGGCTAAATACCAGAGCAGTGTCATGCACGGATGTTGGGTGTTTCTTTTGGTTTACAGTATGAGCCTCCTTTGTCTAACTATCCAAACTCTAGCGCACAAAAACTGATATAAGTCCCAACTAGCGTGACTCCTTACTCCTTTTGTGCAATTTATATGCTCTTGTTTTCGTGAATGCTGCAGCCTTAGTTTGTTTTATATTGTATTATGAAATTCTGTGTCCACCGACGTGCTTATACTTCTTTTGTTATGGTTCTCAACTTCAGATAAGCGTTTGTAAAAATGTTATATTTTGTTTACTGGCTGTCATTGTATTGGCATACTGGAAAATATAAATCTTCATCTATATATGCAGAATGTCTTCTTGGGAGATTTCAAAGGGAAGTTTCTTTGTAATCTCATCCATGAACTCCTAATCAGTCCTGAAGATATATTCAATCTGACGAAATATTCGTTTCTTCTGTATCCCGAGTTTTAAAAACAAACACTGCATAGTTTTCCCTTTCATGATAACGTTTCGAATGTTGGTAAACTGTCCATTGTAAACTTACTCCTCCACTGCTGATCCCTGGAAATAGTTTTCTTCTCTCGTCGTGATTTCGGAAAGCTGCTCTTTTCAGGAATTCATAGACGATATTTTTGTGATACTGATCAAAATCCTCCCCTAGATACTTAAGTAAAGACCTCTTTTAGTTATCGCGTGAATTGTGTATTCCATGTGTCGACGCTTCACCCGATATCGTAATTCTTGGTCTTTCTAATTGAGTTAATGTATCTGCTTTTAGTGCTTAGTACTTCTGATGCAACTTCATTTATTCGTATAGTTAAGCAGTTTGTGTTTAATGGATTAATAACGACTTTTCGTATCCTATTCACACCATGACGCTATTTAGGCTCTGCTTGGCGTTATGTCCGAGGCAGTATGACATATCCACCATTGGATCCACCGATTTGTGATCCATTCGACGGTGCCATGCTGGTGGATGGTGCTTTTGTGAACAATGTTCCAGGTAGTGTTGATAACCTCAGTATGAAAAAAATCAGTATCTCCATAGTTCCTATTTATTTATCTATGAGTACGGATCGTGGTGATTTATGTGATTCGTTATTTGGCTGTTTTGCGCACACTCGTTTACAAGAGTAAGCACCAAATATTGCATAACCAATTAAGTTTTGCAGACAGTGAAAATTGTTGGCGTGTAGTGTATGATGTCTAATCTGCTATTTTCATGCATGTGCAGCACATAGAGGTTTTATAATTCAATCCGCTTACTAATCTTGCAATAGGAATATTGCTTTGTAACAGTAAATCTACTATTTCCAAAAGTGAATCAAATGCTTCCTTACCATCCTCTCATTTGATCTCAATTAGAGTTGGCTATAAATGATTATTTTATGCTAATTTTTAATTATTACCCTCTACATACTTGCTTGTCAATGTTCACTTATGGGTGTATGTATCCACGCAATCCGTATATAGGATCAGCTTGGAGATATGTACGTGCGAGCATGTCGTTATCTGGTTATTTACCTCCATTATGTGATCCATACGACGGCAGTTTATTGTTGGATGGTGGGTATACTAATAATGTACCAGGTCAGTAATTTTTAATCTCGTTTATGATTATCTTAATTTCAGCTTGACACCGATGCGAATGTAAACAAATCAAAATTGAATGATCGCATAGAAAGAAAAGTTTACTCGATAGTTTTGAAAATTATTTTAAATATGTTTCTAACCTAAGGTTGTTTGCTTCAGATTTTAAATTTCTAAGTTAACCATATTTTTATTCCTTGAATATCGCGAGGAAACACATTTTGTGAATGTTTTTTCTTCATTTTTTCATTTAACTTGGGTATGTGACTTGACTATTCACAAGTTTTATGGAGCTATCACTTATCCTTTGCATGTTTGAATAACTTACAACACCCAATAGCATGTCTGTTCAACAAGCTTTGCAAGGTGTGGGACTAATCATTGCAGATTGTTCAAATTATACATAACAGCGAAATGGATTTTGAAGATAAATCCTATCGTGATTTGAGATGGTAAAATGTGCACTTACTTCAGTTTCGAAAATCCAATTATTAGTTATTTCATCACGAATCGATACCATCCAGAATACTATTGAAAATTTGGGAGCATTAATCAGCTGTTTCATCCTAGTTCCGGACTCCTTGGCAGCGCTAACGCGTGACCTTGTAAGGGATAGAGCTGGTGGTGAGCACTTAACTACATAACCACTTATTTGAATCAATTGGCGCACGTTTGCCTAATTTCGTCAATTCTCGGTTTGACGTGATCATCATTCAGCGCCACAAACAATCATTTATCTTCATACCCGGATTAGTCGGCTTGACAGGTCATGGTTTCTGTGGAAGCCATTGGATTATTATTCAGTTTAGAAATTTACGGCGAATCGCTTGATTTTGTGAAGTTTGATGATGTTTACCTAGTCTTAGAATTGTTTTTCTAGAGTTATCTTATTTATTAATATGGGTGTAAAACTTGGGAACTGTGGTGGAATTTAATTCCATATTAGATTTGTTTATTTGATTTATAACACACAGTAATATAGTATTATTTACTTGATGACGTTTCGAGCATAAATTATTGCTCACTGTGTTATAAATCAATTCAACAAATCTAATATGGAATTATCTTATTTGTGTCATGCAAACACCATCTTTTAGGTATAATACCTAAAAGTAGTAAGGGTATTGTCGTTAGAACAGTTGTTTTCGTCACGAGACAATGAGTTTTTTCCGGTAACTTCTAACTGTTGGCTTTGTGAACTGCTTCATATCTAGCTGTCTTCGTTTATCTTCTAAATAGTAGAGGTTGTACACCTTTCTGATCTTTTTTGGTCTGCCGAAAGCATATTTTGTATCAATAATTGCAACTCTGGTTCTTTTGAGTCTCTTTTCATTGGTACTATATCATATGGCATATTGCAGCTTCTTTTATAAGTTCTTCTGTTTATTTGGTAGCCATCTAGATGCAGATGCTTATAGTCTCAGTTTTCAAAGCTATCAGAGTCATTAGAAATTTTCAATGGCAGTGTTGGTTAATGTAAACGTTCTTGAATCTACTTTTTAACCTCTCGTAAAAACTAATGTTAACCAAAATAGATAGTTGTCTACTTGTGGTATCGATCGTCCGTTGCTTTTTTTAGCTGATCACACTAATATTCTGCATGAATAGTTTGAGAAAATAATAACTACCTTTACTTTCTTAGTTAAATAATGGTTTAGTAAACCACAATGCTTATACTGACATACTCCTGGCTATTTAAAAGTTCATCTAACACAATATAATATAACTTATGCATCATATTACCCTATTCATTGACAATTCACTATGCTGAACAAACATTATTGTTTTGCTTTTAATTGCTGATTCGCTTCCACTTGAAAACTATGAGGAAGAAGACACAGGAGGGAACAACATTACTGAGCAAATTTTTTCCTTTATATATTTGGCTTAGTTTTCAAAAAATGTGACTTATACACAGTATCCGAGATATTGAAGCATCCAGTTGATTACTCATATGTTATCAGGCAGCACATCATAGGAAATAGCTGTCAATGTGAAATTTATGATATTCTCTAGGGTATTTTCGTTTAATTCCTTATTGGAATACGATAATCCTAACTTTAATCTACTGTTAAGCAGTTATTATTTATTTATTTTTCCATTGGGTTCCTAGTGGAACATAAGGTTTCAGTAGCACGCCTCCATTGAACTCTGTTCTCTGCAGTCTTTTGGACCTGGCTCCACGACTGCCCATAAGCTCTCATTTCTTCCCCACATGACCTCCTCCATGTCACCCTCGGACGCCCAACTTGTCGTTTCCTCTTTGGATTTCACTCGAGGGCCTGGCGCGTGATAGCCCCAATCGGCCTTCTCAGTTTATGACCAGCCCAATCCATCTCCTTTTTCTTCTGCATATTTGTTGGGTGATAAATTTGTGATTGGTTCATTGCCAGAGTTCCTTGTTGCTTATTCTTTCTGGCCATCTGATCTGATCTTCAGTATCGAGTGAGCGTAGGCGGCAGCTTTTGATGAATGTCTTTAGTTTGTTGGAAGTGCTTTTCGTGACTTGTCAAGTTTCTGAACTATATAGCAGCACTGACGTGACATTGGTGTTGAGAATCTGGATGTTGTTCACGCTTTATGCTGAGTGCAGTCGACCTCCACACTGATTTCAGATTGACGAAAGCCTGTTTTGCTTTTTCGATTCTGGTTTTGACATTCTCGTCTGTGCCACTGCCGCCTGTAGTTGGAACGATGGTGCCTAGGAAGTAGGTGAAAGAGACTACTTCCTTTAGGTTTCTTCCGTTTATGGTGGTTGGTATCTTCATCATCTGTGTCTTCTCTATAGTTGCTTGAAGTCCCGTCTTTGCTGTCCTATATCTT